GGCGCATCATACTTGCATACCCTAAATGAGAAAAATGAAGTTGTTGCTTTATTTCATTACTCATAGATTTTGGGATCCATATACGTTCACCTTTCAAAATAATAGCATCTTGATGACTCAATGTATCTCCTATCGACAAATATGGTTTTACTTATGCTCGGGCCATCCATGTTTGATATATCTCAGTAACTTCATCGATTCATCATCTTTCATCATAGCTTGCTTCACATCTTCAATTCTTTCATCTGGAATTTGCTCTAAAGCGTCTACTTTCAAAATATGTGGAAAATGTTTGGAATTTCCGATAAAATTTCTGCTTAGGGTATCAGCAATTAATAAGGATTTCCCAGGCATATATTTGAATTGGATATCATATCTGTTCAATCGCATCATAAGAGTTTGTAAACGTCTGGGCTTTTGACTTAATAGTTTGCTTAAAATTGTTTTGAGAGGTTTATGATCGTTGTGAATTATAACTTTGCGACCATAGGTAGGCTATATTGATTGAATCGTTCAAGTCCAAATACAACAGATAAAGTTTCTTTTTCAATCTGAGCCCAATTTCTTTCAGATTTTGACAAACCACGGGATGCATATTCGATGATAGGCTTTTCATTCTGCATTAAAACAGCACCAAGACCATCTTTGCTGCTATCAACCTGTAGAACTAGGTCAAGGTTAGGGTTGTAATAATCTAACACGGACGATTTCGTAATCTTACGTTTGACCAATTGAAAAGCTTTTTCACACTTTTCGTCCCATAGCCATTTAACATTCTTCCTAGTAAGGTTTCAAATTGACTCTAGATCACTGGCAGGATTAGGTAAAAATCTGGATAAATATTGAATCATACCACAAAATCGTTTCACATCACTGACATCCTTTAGCGATGACATTTTCACTATGGCCTCTGTCTTAGCAGGATCTGGCTCTATCCCACTTGTTGTAATTTTATGGCCCATAAAAGTTATTTCTTCTTTCATAGTTCTTGCTTTGGTATCATTTAATGTTTTTAGTTCGGTACCTGATTTGGAGATTTCTCGTGTTTTCTCTCAAGTCTGCTTCAGTTCCAGATTTAGTGTCTCCACATCCAATTACTATGATGTCATCTGCAATCGTAATAACACCTTTCAATCTGAACAATGCTTCATTTAAACGTTTCTGAAATATTTCGCTGCTCACATTCGAAGCAAATGGGAGGCTAGCCCATCTGTAACGAGAAAAAGGTGTGATCATTGTCGTTAACTTACTCGATTCTTCATCTAATATTACGTGCCAATATGCTTCTTTTACAAACTTAGTAAAACTTTTTTACTATACATCATCAAGAACAGGTAATCGGTAGTGTTCTCGTTTCAATGCGGCATTCAAAGGTTGAAGGTCAATACATATTCGAAGCTTTTTGTTAGGTTTCTAAGTTACAGCCATTTGACTAACCCATCAGTAGGTTCATCCACCGGTATTAAGATTCCCCTTTTTACCAGGTTATCTATTTCCGTTTTAACTCTATCTTGAAGAGCTATTGGGATTTTTCTACAAGGTGAAACTCTAGGTTGAAAATCAGGTTAACTTTTAATTTCGCTATTCCCAAGTTTCCAAAAGTTTGCGGTAGGTCAACATTTGCAATGAATTTATCTCTGTTTATTGTAATCAAACCCATCTTTTGTATTCTTTACCCCCAAAAGACAGTTGAAATTATTCTTGACAACAGTTTATTTCGAGGATTTTTTACCTTTAAAATTGCCTCACCGAGTGGCTTCATTTTCGTTTTATTCCACATCACAAGATTGTCAGTAGTTGGTCTAATTTGGTCTTTCCGCACATATTTCTCGCATACTGTGTTGACATCTGCAGCACTATCAATTTGAAATCTCACTTCATAATTGTTGACTTCCATCAGAGCAGTAATTCTTGAACTGTTATTTATATTCTGGACACGCTGATGGCCATCTTCAAGCGTTTCCTCATCTTGGTCATGTTTCTTCATTTGTCGAACATAGCTTGCGTTTCTACACTTCACCATGAAATGATTTCTTCCATTGTACGAGTGACATGTTTTTCCGTAGGCAGGACAAAAGGATATCCCGAATTTCTGTCTTCATCCACAAAATTTGAACTCTTGGTTTGTTTTCGGAATTCTTGTTGTGCTTCAGAGCTAAGTTCGTATTTCGGTATTGTCTATTTTTAGTTAACAAAATTCGTTGCTCGCTTTCTGTAGTTGCACGGATTTCCGTCGCTTGCTTTTCTGACATTTCATATGTTTGGCAAATCTTTATGGCTTTTGACATATTGAGATCAGTCTTCCGCAGTAGAATTTCTTGTAATTTATCTATAAATCAATCAATCGTTTATTCTGTTATCACAAAAAACAACTTCAAACAAAAAATGACACAATGAATAAATTACAGTAGGCTACTAATTATGTTTTTTGTGTGACCGGAGTCGCGAGGGACCTAAGAAGGTCTTCAAGCAGCGACATCTACAGCGCTGTTACAGGTTAGAATAAACATAATTGAATGAGGGATAAAATGAATAAATCCTAGGAATAAGTCCCAACGGATACAAATACATCGACATTCGAAATATTTGAGATTATGACACAGTAAAACAGAAAATTAACTATCTCGGAATATTTACCAACAACTAATAAAAATGCGAGGAAAGTAAGATAAAAGCACAGAAAAATTATAGGAAAGGCAAGTTTGGTGAAATATGCAACTAAAAGCAATATAAGACAAAAATGCAATTTTGGAGACTCTTACGAAAAAATGATAGAGGGTAATGAGGATTACAAACAAACTATTATATATATGTATATAATTCACATAATAAAGAGGAAAAGATAAAACGGCCAAATCATTTGAAAATAATGAAGAACGTAGAATAAGGGCAATAAGCTATCGTGCTCCACTCTGAACTATTCTTGAATCAACTATTTAATGTAGCAGATATTCTCGGATTCCGACTCGCTTACTGAGAATACGATTTTATCTCTCATCATTCGATCTTTGTTTTCAAAATTACAGGAATCGGCTTTACTACGAAGTTCAACGAGAAACGTATCAAACTTGTCTTTGTACTGTACATTGAAGAAGCGAAATGTCTCCATCACCTCATTCTTCCGAGGATTACAGTGTTCAGCCATTTTCTGTAGTAGAACTTTAGGGTCATTTTCGTCCTCAGTCTCACTGTATACAAAGTGTTCGGCAGCTTCAATCATTTGAGCACCTGCGCAATATAAGAATATTGCCTTCTGTTCTTCCTTTGACTTGCTAGTAGAACCGCTGGCTAGCATGAAAATATCTATCGGTCTTTTCCATGTTTCTGATAAATTTTCATCATTAAGGAAGTATGAACTATATTATGCATGTCAATATTTCAGTTGCTCATTATGCCAATTCACTTATACGTTATTGCGTTTTTTTATCATTATATTTACTCCAGGTTCAATCCGGCCAGACAGAAGTGGCTCAACAGATAAAGTTGTTCCCACTGTCACCCTGAAGCGGACTGGGGCTCAGAATGGCAACGGAGATTATATAGCTCAATCATCTTCACATAGTGAACATAGGTATAGTACAGGGGTCACCAACCTTTTCGGAGCCGAGGGCTACTTTCTGGGTACAGTTTGAGCCGGGGGCTACCTTTTCAATTCACATTTCCAAAAAGTCAATATGCTCGATTAAGCTTCAATTATTGATAATTACTGGTATTTAGTAAGATTAAAACACTGATACACTTGAGAATTCTTCAGAAAATCAAACGATTATCACAACGTAGCAAATGAATCACTATCCATGGCACTTCCATTTTCAAACTGATTGTTTTGAAAAATGTTGATTCACAAAGATAGCTCGAACCAAACACCGGTGTCGTAAAATAGAATTGCTGTTTGATTTAGAAGGCTAGCTTTTTCTGCCCTTACTGCGCTGACCAATGGATAGTAACAAGATGTGAAATATCTCTCCGCTTTGTCGTTACTATAATCGCCCCGCAAATTATACATACGTAAGGTGGTAAAGGGAAATTCATTCCCCACTCATCGTGAAAATGGTAGGTTTTCTTTCGTTTTTCTGTCATTTTTCTTCAAAATTATAATAACTGATTTATTGCTGCTCCACAAATCCGGACAAGAAAAAAACGCAGGTTCGTGGAATTGACATCAGTGTGATGGCATAATTGGGAGAGTATTGAATGACCCATCACATTACTGTGGTCAAATACTAATCAGGATGATCATTACAATAATAATTAACATAGTGTCAGTTCCCACTTACAGACAAAAGTGCGACTTATACAAGAATCGTATGACAAAAATTGATTGATGTAGCTTACTTATGAGCGCCGTTATTATGCTTATTTTGGAACAGACATGCGGGCGACTTATATTGTCTTCGCGGGCGACTTGGTGCCCGCGGGCAACGGGTTGGTGACCCCTGGTATAGTATATGTAGTAAACAAACCTTTTTGACTGAATATCTGTCATCGGCCCATTAGATTTATGGGGTGGGGGAAAGATTCAAATTTATCACTTCCATTATTTTGATATTTGACCATGACCTGTATAGGGAGAATTTTTTCAGGGGTCAAAGTTCAGGGAAAGGATCATAGTAAGCTTAGCCTTAGATTTTTCCGGGAGTCTTATGCCGTCACCAAAAAAAGGCATATATAGCTCGCAAGCCGTGGGTTCCCGACCACTGGTCTACGATATTACCCATCTCTGGTATGCGTGCAAAGAAATAATTATTTTTATTTACTAGGAAATTTGTCAATGACATACCAAACCAACATCTTCCCAGTGTTTTATGCGACTTCCTCTTCCTCGGGATAAATGCGTTTGTCCTATCCTAAATACAACCGTACCTTACAATGGTTCTGCCTAATGTCACACTCGTGCTATAATATAGTCTACTATATATATAGTATCCTACGGATTTGTCATTTGAAATTAATGTGCAAGCTTATCATCATTTTCAAAGTACAATACTGAACAAGACATATAAAAGAAAATTGCTGTCCTAAAATTGTTTCAGGAGCAACCTATTTTTTTATTAAGATTCATGCCTAGAATAAAATTCATTTTCGACTTAGAGGGATGGAAATGAATTCAGGTTCAGTAATTCAAATTGCGCTCTGCCTAAAACTAAGAATGTCAATAAGCATAGCTGTTGTATTCCACAAATAAAACTCAAGAGTTTATCCAGGCCGTTGAAATGTTGTTTACATTCTGAAAGAGCAAGAAAGCTAACGAATGTGCATGCACGTTGACTACAGTACAAGAAATATACAGGTAAAAAAAATATTACAAAAACGAAATGGGGCACTGTTTCACAAACCAAAATATGCCAGAACTTCGCACAACATTTTCAGAAACAAGATCATCCCACATTGACTAGTCAATAAAAAAATTGTGAATAAATCGGTAGATATGAGTTCAAGAAACAGTAATTGATTGATTGATGCTGGCACAGCAGGTCAGCTACAATTGTAGACAAGGTTTGGTACACCGAAACGCACAACGTGCGTGAAGGAACCGAAAGTATATTATAAAACTCTATTCTCGAAATAGTAGACAGCCCAATCCACAATGCATTCATCGTAGCATACAACGCAGGAGAGCAAAAATCTTCGCTAATCACATAATATCATCTTCTAATCACATATCAGTTTGAAGTGTTATCTGCTTTCATTATTTTCACGACCATCAGAAAATGATGATGGTGGATGACCATCGCTATTTGTAATCGATGGCCACTGATGATACATAGATTGAGGATTATTATTATTTGGGTTAACTCGCTGCTGGTGTTGCAAGTAAGATTCCTTTGATTTATAAGACTGTTCAAAAACCTGATCTCGTGCTGATGTGATAGTTTGGATGTCATCATCTCTTATCTCACCAGATTCTGGTGATAACAGTTGGCGTTCAGATTGCTTTGGATTGTCATCCACATCAGTGTCAAATATATTGTCTGGCGGTAATTCTGACACAGGTGTAGATGAATCGAATCCTATTCTTTTCGATAATCTGAGTAAAAAAAAGTAGAATTAGGAAAAAGCAGCGAATAGATTAGTGCTGTTCAACCACTGACCCAAATACAGTCATTTTCATAAAGTATTTGCACATCAAAAGGATATACTTATTTTAATTTTTGAGTTTCAATGGGCTTACGATCATGTGCTAGTTCTCATTGCATTGTAACATATGACAGACAATTTCTAGAAATGAATTAAAGTGAGGTTTTTCAAGCAAGGTAACCACTTCTCATCAAATCAAGTGAAAGGCATCGAATTCTCAATTTCACTTGAAAATCACATTTATGTTAATGGTTGTGATGATACAATCTAAGCACAAGTTTTTTTGGTTTTGAGCATCGCAGTTTGCCCCCAATGAAAGGGTAATTATTCGTGTACAATAAAAAATAGGGCTACCGGCCTTTAATCAGAACATTTTGATTTTTGTTAGCGAATCGATCTCATACTGGAGCAATTGCCTTCATTTCTAAACATTATTACTCAAAATACAAAACAACTTTCACATATCGTCACTAATATCCTTTTACTTAATTCAAGACCGCCCAACCCGCGACTCCCGGGCCGCATGCGACCCGCCAGATTGTTTTTTGCCGCCCGCCCCATAGATGAGTTTGTGAACAGACTTTTTAAATTTTTACTATGTTGTATAGGCTTAAGAAGTATGTTTCGCGATTTTGGTGTGTTTATTCCCGCCATCTACATCCAAATGCCGGTTATTATTATGTATGTATCAAGTCTTGCGCACTGGGCGACATCAACGTTAGGTTTTTATTATTTCTCGCAGAACTGTGCGCCGAAGTGGAAATATATTGTGCGATCATTGGCGACGAACGCTGAACGCAATTGCGTTTGGAACCTAAATTTCCAAATTAATTTCATTCTGATTGCTCTCTATCGTGTCGACTTTGAACCTCCTTATCGCCAAAGTAAAATAAAAAGTCAACAATATCTTAGCTACTGACTCCGGGATTCGTTGTCCTGTATTTTTGTTTGTGTTAAATAAAATTTCTAAAAATGTCCCCACTGAGTATCCGCAGTTATATTCGAATACTTTGCCAGCCCTACTCAGTAACCAGTATTAATTACTGTCCTGATTGATTTTATGTTAATAAACTTGCCTTTTATGTATTATGTAAATTCTAACAAAATAAGAATTTGGCTGGTATTAAAGGTTGCGGCCCGCAATGAATTTCGTCATGTGAAAGTGGCCCGCGAGACTAAAAAGGTTGGGCAGGCCTGACTTAAATAGCATCCATCAAGTGAATGATTGTTTATCAGTCACAAGGCATGAAAAAAATTTAATTGTTTTTGGTCATTTTTTATTAAAATGACAAAGAAACATTTTTGTCGAAAGAATCGATCTTTGCTGAAAGACTGCTAGTTGCATTTTGTGTTGTTCGACAGGATTTTAAAGTTGTTAGCATTTATGGTTAACCACATGGTCACAAAAATCAAAGTTCCCAATCACTAGTACCAGTTACTTGACAACCCATGCCTATTACCAGTATATATCTACACCCTATAATGAGAGCAGGTCATGGTCAAATATCAAAATGATGGAAGTGATAAATTTGAATCTTTCCCCCACCCCATAAATCTAATGAGCCGATGACAGATATTCAGTCATTAAAGTCAAAAAGGTTTGTTTACTACATATACTATACCTATGCTCACTATGTGAAGATGATTGAGCTATATAATCTCCGTTGCCATTCTGAGCCCCAGTCCGCTTCAGGGTGACAGTGGGAACAACTTTATCTGTTGAGCCACTTCTGCCTGGTGCTGTCTGGCCGGATTGAACCTGGAGTAAATATAATAATGAAAAAACGCAATAACGTATATCCGGTAAGTGAATTGGCATAATAAGCAACTGAAATATTGACATGCATAATATAGTTCATACTTCCTTAACTCATATGTGGTTATATAGTTATTAGGGGTGGGCAAAATCAAATATTTTTTTCGAATACCAAATAGTCGAATATTTTCTCAAATACAACAGGGATCGAGGACCTCGAAGGTTGATACTCCATTTGGAAAATTCGGTGTTATTGTCTTGTTAGATAACTTTGCAAATCTGCCATCGTGTGAACCCTTAATTTAGATTTAAAATAATGATTGAATAAATCGGCCGTTATGCATTTCTACTTGTCATGAGTAGGGATGTAAGTTTCGAATATTTTTTTTCGAATTGAATTTCGAAAAATTTTTTTCGAATCGAATTTCGAATCACAATGTTTCGATTAGAATATTTCCGAATCTGATTTTATTTAGTACAACGGTGCACAACCTGCGGCCGTACGGCCGCATGCACACACCGCGAAAAAAAATGCGGCCGTCCACATACAAAATCCTATGAAAAAAAAGTTCAAAATATAGGATTTGGCGGCTATGCTGGCTTATATTGAAGCAAAACAGAAGCACTGCAAAAAAGTCAGACGACACGATGCGTCACAAATCACAATCTAGATCAGTGATTCTCAAACTAGGGTTTGAGAGCCGCATGCGGCTCTCAACAACCTTCCCTGCGGCTCCCGTTAATGTTTTAAAAATTAATTATTTTCGAAGAAAATTTTTCATTGAAAACTAATCATTGACTCGAAATTAAAATGCTGAAGTCTATTAATTAGTTAGTCGAATGGATTCCCCCCTGTTTATTTGCGTAGCGTTGACTAACCTACAAGATACAATAGTGACGCAACAGTGAGCGTTTTGCGGACACTCGGACACTTTTCACTGGAAAGATTTCAGACATGGCTGTAATCATTGGCTTGCTTTCGTGGATTTTCAGTTTGTGTCGCATTTCCAGATCTTATGTATAAATCAAATAACTCAATGATTATTTTAATTTCTAGAGCATTTTAATTTTGTTCCAGCAATCGAAAATAGTCCCGAAAAATCTGGCGATCATCTCAAGCAGCTACTGCACCTTGCATCCTCCACGATTACAACCCGTTTTGACAAACTTATTAGAAATCAAAGCCTAATTAAATCAAATCAAAAAATCAAAAATTTTTTCGAATTGAATAATTTGAATATTTTTTTTATACATAACAGGGATCCAGAACGTCGGAGGCCGATAGTCCATTTGGAAATTATTAGAAACAATGAAAAGTCGGCAATAAATCGTTTTTAATGGTTAATTTTATCATAATGGCTGATTGTCATTGTCACCGCGATCGTTTTGACGGCGATATCCTAAAGTTGGTATTCTATGTTTCCGCCCTTTCTCGTTTTTGCAAGAATAAGCGGTCGCCAAATATCGAAATTCCATATTTCTAGTATACCCTTGCGTTCTCATCAGCGACAGCTGTTGAATACATTTAAGGACTGATTTCAAAACCAAATTAATTCTATTCTGAGTTTTATCCTCTGCCTTGGATTCGATCTTCCTTATCACCGCTTGTAAATTAACCGTGTCTGTTTCAAGTGAACGGTAACCGAGATGCAGATATTTATTATAATGATAATTGAGTTTCTCATGCTTTTCTATGGTGTTCGTGGTATTTTAGTATTAGATAGATGAACCTAGCAAATTTACGAATGCGTGAATCCTAAAAGTTGATTTAAAATAGCGATTAAATAAATTGTCAATAAAGGCATTTCTAGGCCTTTGTGCCTAATAGAGTGTCAGACTCTAATTATACCTAATTACTTCAAGTTTTAACGTTTTTTTTTCAACAAAACAACACCCCGATGGTTATTATAGCTAAAATACTTACTCAGTAATGCTCAATTTTCTTTACGGAATTTGCAAATTCAGCACTTCACTTGATGATTTTGATTATATCATGCCTTATGGCTTAATTATTACTGCCCAAATGCTTCAAAATTTAACAATTGTAATCATTTTCGATGATAATAGACGCAACAATTTGTGAACGAGTCAGTGTCAGACTCTAATTATACCTAATTACTTCAAGTTTTAACATTTTTTTTTCAACAAAACAACACCCCGATGGTTATTATAGCTAAAATACTTACTCAGTAATGCTCAATTTTCTTTACGGAATTTGCAAATTCAGCACTTCACTTGATGATTTTGATTATATCATGCCTTATGGCTTAATTATTACTGCCCAAATGCTTCAAAATTTAACAATTGTAATCATTTTCGATGATAATAGACGCAACAATTTGTGAACGAGTCAGTGTGCATTGTTACAACGAAATTCACGATTGATTTTACGTTCTACTCTTGGCTCAACGGCCATGCATGGTCGAGTAAAATGTTTACATATTCGAAAAATTACTTGGCAAAGGATGGAAGGGATCACTAAAGAGCTAATACAAAGTGCTTTAAAGGGAGTAGGACATGACATTTCTTATCTGGTTACAACTTAATGAATGTTTTCCATACAAGTAACTCATACCAGCTTTTGGAAAAACTTTTGGTCATTTTTTAAATCGATGCTATTTACATAACTAGAGTGTTTTAACACCTAAAATCGCATTTTTCACAATGAAACGCCGAAATGTCATTTTAACATTTAATTTTAAGCAACTTTATGTTCGGTAATGCAAGAAATGGCTAATGACATGTCACCAAGCATGCCGAGTTTAAATCTGGGAAATTTATTTTAAATACCTAATCTGGTTTGACGTTTCTAAATTTACGGAACGGTCGGTACATTTTTTTTGCAAAACGATGAATTGAAAGGATACCATAAGTGCAAAAATAAGCATATAACACCATAAAGCAAAGACAAATTTTTCCTATTTTTCTCATAGCGAGCGCCATTGGGAAATCTCGCACAATTCACGATTGAGTTGGAGACGCTCGAGTTTGGTGTCCAAGCAGAGCGGTGCAGGTCACGTGGTACCGGATATTCAAATAGCAAAATGCCATTCGAATATTTTATTATTCGAATATTTGGCCCAGCCCTAGTTGTTACGTGTGTTGTTGTTACGATGACTTGGTATTTTAATTACGCGCTTAAGGTTTGTTGCTATTTTACCTTGCGTTGTTTGTGTACGGCTCTTCATACCTTTGAGGTTTGAAATGCGGCTCTGGGACTAAAAAAGTTTGAGAACCACTGATCTAGATGGTGTATTTGCTGCCAGTTACCTCACTTTGCAAGTTTATCTGCCCACATGCAAGACCAAAGGAGTCATTAAATTGCTACAATTCTTTGCAAACTTTTATAGAATAAATTCATAAAAATATTTGACATTTTATTATACTTTTGGGGACAAGAAAATGGGGGGGGGGGGCGACCGCCCCTCCCCGACTTTCGATTTTTTTCAAAATTGTGCAACCATTATGCAACTTGCTGAATATATCTGCTCTAGAATAGGTCCACCGAAAAAAAAATCCTACTAAAACGCGAATATTATACTTCCAAGTAGTCCTACATACTTCATAATTGGGCAGAGTGCACCTCGCACGGGTCAAATACACGGTTATGACGTCATAAAGCCAAAGGCGCGCTATTAACCTCCTGGCGGCCGTATTGTATAAAATAAATGCAATGTGGCCGCCAATAGCAAAAAGGTTGTGCACACCTGATTTAGTATATCATCATGTTAGCGTTACTTTCTTCAAATTTGGAAGAAATATAGTATAAATTTTAATAAAATAACAATAATGAGCTTAAAGAATGAATAAAGTTATTAGAAAAGCACGTAGCATGGCTGTATCAACTACTAAATATATTACGGATGAGATTTATTTTTGTTACATAAAGGTATACTCAGTTACATATTAACTTTTGAGAATTATGTTTGCAAACAATACCGGGTGTATAGCGATTGTTTCTTCTAAAGTGGACCTTCAAAATTCATCCAAATGATAAACGCTAGTAGGTACTGTATGCGTCATGATTTTAAAAGAAACAATGATAACGAGGGAGGCATCGCAAACATGTTTTTATTAATAATGTATAACGCAATGATGTTTTATTATATTAATATTATGCAGATAATTTGAAGAAACGTTTATATATTAAAATATTTGTGACATTTTAAGCAGTCGAACAAAATTGAGCAAAATCATTGGTGCCTCTAAAGCTGCAACCAATATGAAATATAACGACTCTGGGGGTGTCACAGCTTTGGAAAGCTGTAAACGTAGGAAAAATAAACGTTTTTGGTCAATATTGAGGCAGCGCCGCTGTGTCGTGCAATTGCCTTGTGTTATCTATAAAATTATTTTTCAAATAGAATCAAGCCCTTTTTTCTTAAATTGCTTCGAATCGATTCGAATTGCTTCGATTTAAAATTCTGAAACTTACATCCCTAGTCATGAGGCTTTTGATCCCAACAGAGGGTCGGACGCTAATTATAACTTATTCCTTCAAATTGTAACGTTTATTTTTTGAACAAAACAATACCCGACGGTTATTATAGCTAAAATCATTACCGAGTAACTCACAATTTCATCTACGGAATTTGCAAACTCAGCACTTTACTCTCGATGATTTTGATAGTGTCACGTCATAATTATTATCGCTAAAATGCCTCAAAATACAACACATACAGTATTATAATAATAGGCGCAACAATTCGTAAACTAGCTAGTGTGCGTTGTTATGACGAAATTCACGATTGAATTTACGTTCTACTCTTGTTTACAATTTAACACTCCCTCGGTCATGCATGATCAAGTAAAATGTTCACATTTTCGAAGCATAACTTGGCCAAGAATGGAAGGGATCACTAAAGAAGTAGTACCAGTACATCATAGGAAGTATGTAATTTCTCATCATTTAGTAAAATATACTGGTCATTTGTAAATCCAAATCCATTTATATAACTCGTCATAAACGTCTTTTTACCTTTTAATTTTAATCAATATTATGTTCGAGTCACAACATTTCATCAGACATACGGAGTACAGAATCTGAAAAATTTATTGTAAATACCTCCTATCTGGTTTGATGTTTATAAATGTACGGAACGGTCGATGTGTTTTTTGCAAAATAGTGAATTTAAACGATAAGTTAGTCGCAAAAAGAAGGCAAATAACACCATAACGCAAAGACAACACTTATTAAATTTGTCGCTTTTGTCTGTTACCAAGCGCCATGGATGAATTCTCACGCAATTCACGATTGATTTGGAGACATGCAATTTCCGTGTCAAAGCCAAGCGGCGCAGTTCACATGGTACGATATTAGAATTGTAAAATGCCATTCGAATATTTCAATATTCGATTCAATATTCGTAATTCGAATATTTTGCCCAGCCCTAATAATTATGTCAGCACATGCCAAATCTATTACAACCACAGGTTTCAAACAAGACCCGACCCATTATTTGTCTCTAATAAAAAAGTAAATTGAACAAATAAAAAAGTAGAGCTGATTGTAAACATTTCAAATGAGTACAAAAAAATGGATGTAATGTTGTAAGAAAACAAAAGTTTTGACATCTCACCAAAGAAACTGCATCAACAAGGGCTTGTTGAAAAGTGGCATTGTCGATTTTCTGACCGTGTTGTGACTTGTGATGATTTGCCTGAGGTGGTGAGCTTGGCTTACCATGTCGAACTTTATTTCTTGTAGATTTGTGAGAGAAAGAGTGATGGCTAAAAATAGTGTAAATAATAATTTAGAAATTGCTTGGAGGCCACTGTGTGCATGAGAATAAGAATCTAACTCGTATTAATATGAAGGACTATTTTATCCTGATGACTTTGCCTAGCACAGTATATACTAATTTGACAATGTGACTCCATATAGTAGAAAATCTAAATCCACAGCACTGCATAATCATGCAGCAAAAACAAGACTACCTTTGATGACGATGTCCATCAGATTTTCTTGAATGCTTTGCTGAAATTGGATCAGATGTACCACCGGCATCTAAGCCATGAGTTCGTTTCCTGCCTGAAATTTTAAAAGAATACCTATTATTGATAATTCGACTAAAAATGGGCCTTCCGGAAGTTAAAAACGGAACAGCGCGCGAAAACTGCGACAATTCATGAACTCAACTCAGACATCTTATTAAAAAATTATTACAATGACATCAAATGTGTGACACAGTCTTGTTGCTGCATCACGCTTGATAGCTTTACAACGCCAAGATTGGAACATTTTCTAAATGGGTATCACTTATCCTAGTTCTTTGCTTGCTCTTTGTAATGTTCATTTTCGAAAATAATTGTTCGCACAAATATGTACTTCCAAACATTGAAGTGAATATTTTTGCATGGTTTGTGAAATTTTGATCAAGATCTTTAAGAAGATACATTCTTACAAAAATTAAGCAGTGATGAATCTCTCGAATAAAATATGAATTTTATTTCCTTATTGCATTGCAATATATTTGAATATTTACTGCGATATTGAACCCATGCACTCAGCATCGACGTTTCTGTGTGTTGCCATTTGTCTGATTATAATTAAATTGTAGGCTCTTTAAACGAGTAGCTATTCACTAAATTGTTAGGATATAATATAATTTAGTCGAAACGTGTCTCACGATAAATTCTGTTATGTAAAAAAAAGGTAATCCTCCTCGAGCGTAGATTATAAATAAAATTAATTCATCGTGAGAAACCGGCGCTTTGTCTGTATAATGGATGTTTCCCCGAGCATAGACTTCCTTGTTTACTTTGTGACATTGGCCAATCAACAAGATGCTAAAATAAACGTAACAATGCCCTCTTTTTTGGATCCGCTCAAGACAGTTTTCTCAATCAAATAGATTTTCAGGTGTGGTCGTAAATATTACCTCATTTTCAGGTTTTTGAATTATATTCGTTAGTTTTTAGTTGTGTTTCGGAAATTCGGATATGAATCAAATAATTCAATGATCACTTTGTCTTACTAGGAGTTTCAGTTTAATTGCAGTAATCAAAAATTAGTGTAGAAATAGCTGTGATAGATAGACTAGGCTAAAATTCTTTACCGGTACTGTTAGAAAAAAGATTGTTGGATGGTATGAATCAGAATGATAGTTTGAAACAAATACCCCATTTTACAGGCGACAACTCATGACACCACTCTAAAAAGAAGCCCCGAAAATTTTAAAATGGTAATGTAAAGAAAGAATTTTCCGGGGTCAAAGGTCGTGGAAAGGTTCATTCAGTGAAGCGTCCCGGGCCAGTTTATTTTACTCTGGGCGGTATTTTGCTGACCATTGGGATACGCAAACTACCGTACCTTACGGCGGAGACGAGTGAAGCAATCCTTTCGAGTGTGATAATCGCCCACGTGCTTCAAACCTACGAAAGCACTCAGTAATCAAGTGCACGATGCGCCGAAAAAAACAGGTTTCGCGAAATCGCCCCCTTCGACTCTTTCGCCCCCCTCTGTATCGGTTTCGCCCACTTTGGGAATTACTGCTCTAGATGAAAGCAATAAAAGTTGTAGTTGCAAGCCAGGGGATTACCAGATATCATAGTCATTAACTTGTCTTCATATCTCCAATAATTAGAAAGTTACCCAGTTTGATCAGAAAATGAAATTAATTTTTGTTGTTAAAAAAATGTATTCTTTGTAAAAACAGGCACTCTTTTTAGCGAGGCATGATTTCATGTTGGTTACTTGATTTATTGAGAAACAAGATGCAATACAGATTGTTTAATGGTATAGAAAATTTGAACATTATTGGAAAAAATGTAGGGCCTTCCGGAAGGCCCCATGAAAATAATCAGTAGGGGTGGGAATTTTAAGAAAAACACTTTAACCGTTACCTGGGTAAAATTAACCGGTTAACCGCAGCGTGACGTTTGACGTAATAATTTATAATTTTAGTTTATTACAAGGTTACAAAGCAATTTTGCGTGATCTTATCCCGGTATCTCTCAAAATTATTCATGAATCGAGATAGTTTCGAGGTATGTAGCAGACATATGGAAGTATTTTAGTAAAACCCGATTCAGTTATTAAATGTCATTTATGTGACAAATTTTCAGTGCTCGATGTGCAAATTCTACTTCGAGATATCATATAGAAAAAAAGCATCGACTGCGCACATTGAATAGATGGTTTTGAAATAAAGTAGTGAACAAAATATTTTTACAGAAAACTTTTTCTGAATTCATCATTTTCATATTCAGCAATCTTGGTACGGTACTTCAAATATTTTTCACATTTATTAGGTCCTTACCAATACAGTTAGTGGTATTCTTTTGAATTGAACGCCACATGAGATAAATTTTCGATAACGTAATCATTTTTGAAGAAATTGTACATTATAAAGATGATATGTACCTGGGATGTCGGTTAACGGTTAAAATAAATCATAACCGTTAACCATCTAAAATGGGTTAACCGATTAACCATTCCCAGCCCTAGTTATAGGTATTGATGTGGAATCTTAATATTAGGAGGAAAACCAGTTTTTCAAAAGAAAAGCCAAAATTAATACAAACTATTATTTTTTGTTACAGATTGACATAATAAATATATTTGAATTGAGTTTAAGCTATGCAGAAGGATATTTTTAATTCAAAAGTTGAATGCTGCTACATACAGTATCATTATAATTCGTGGTTAGATGAGGTTCTGAGTTATACTTTTAAATTTTTGAAGACAGCTAGAATGAAATTTCGTTATGATAATACAGTATGTGAAATTGACTATAAGGATTTAAGACTTGGAGTTTCTGATGAGGAAAAATTTGAATTAGGAAATTCTGTTAACCATAACAACCCAGATTATGTTGAGCACAATGCAGAGGGTAGCTTTGGTTTGAATGAAACCAGTTTAGGTAGCACCCAAATAACACTGAGAGTTAGGATTCAGAACACGAGAAAGAGACGAAAGTTAGTGGATTTGCCAAGTGCTTACTTAGAATGCAGCACAGACGGTGATAGTAAACTCACTGAGAATGTTTTTTCATTCTCAGACGAAGAAACTGATGGAGTCTGATTAAGACTTGGATACAATCCCCTTACAACAGAAAATGATAGGCAAAGCTGGGACGGAGCCTAAGGACCAAGGTTGAATTATTAATGGGATAGTAAGTCTATGTAAAAGCAGGCACTTTTTTAGCGAGGCATGATTTCATGTTGGTTACTTGATTTATTGAGAAACAAGATGCAATACAGAATGTTTAACGGTATAGAAAATACATTACTACATTGATACATTACTAGAGTTTGCCGATAAATTTTATAAAAAAAATAATTTTAGCTAGCCAGAAACAAATAAGAAATGGCACTCTGGAAATACGATTAGACTGCAAGTAGCAGAAAGTTATTTGAAATTTGCCACTGGTATCATTATCATGCGAGTACTGGATCTTTTGGTTTCTAAGATGTGTAATTAACGTGCTCTTGTTGTAACCACTGTCAATTTAAAGCAATATGGGGTTTCTACTGATAAATACTCTTCTTTTAATGTTATATTTCATTAATAAAGACAACATATCAACCAAATCTTGCATGACATTTTTTACATAAGCAAACATTGCAAATTAGAAGTTTTATTGTCCAAGTAGGCGCTGACTTTCAATGAGTGATTGTTTGTCTTTCATTTACTGAAAATCAATGCACAGATCTCATTTAGGGAACACCTTCCCTCTACTCAAAAACAAAAAATGTAACTTTTTCTTTAGATGACCTGGCTTAAAACAATATTACTTATTGATTTGATAGTGGTACATTCTCTAATTACTGAAAATTGGAGCTTTTTTAGGATTTCCATATACCAGGTCCTAGAGCCTTCCGGAAGGCCCTTTTCAAGAAAATTTTTGGAAGGGTCTCCCATCCATCATGTTGTTTGTGTTAGTATTAGTTTTTTTTTTGTATTTGTGTTCTGGGTTTTTAGAAAAAAAAATGTACCTGACTGAATATAGTTAATTAAACAGTAATCCCTCTTATAAAACTGATCGTTTGAAATTTTTGATGAAAAATTTGTAATTTACAAAAAAAATTGTATTTACGTTTTTTCTGTTAGCCTGTTAGTTTTTTAGTGCTACAACGTGATACAAGAAATTCATAAACATGAAAATATTAGATCACAGAGGTTTTTTCATCTGTGAAATAAAGGTTGATTTTTATCAAATTTTTCAAAAAATTGAAATTTTTATTAAAAATAAATAGGTCAGCGATAAAAAACTAAAATGTTTTATAGAAATTCTAACCCATGATTGTATTCATGGGTAACCGGCAATTAATTAATACCATAAACTAAGTAAAAGTTAAAATCAAACTAGATGATATCAGGTTCCAAAAAAAAAATCTGAATTATTATTATAGGCAACAAGAATAAAAAAAAACACATCTACCATATATCCTCGCATATAAGCCGAGTTCAAGACTCAAAAAAAAAAGTTGTCAAACTAAGGGGCTGGCTTATACGGCCATAACTTTGATCACATTAAAAATTCGGCTTATACGTGCATAACTCTGATCGCACTGGAATGAAATGACATTTCATAAATTAATACTGCAAACTTAAACTGAACGATATTATCATTAACGACACCAGGCTAATAATAAAATTCCAATAGATAGTAAATAATATTCTAGAGCTATTTCATATGCTGTAAATGCAAACATTTCCCGTTATGCTCGACCACTATCGAAACTAAGAATGAAAAATTAATTACGACACAATTTGCTTTTAAATTCATTGCTGTGGTCGCCTATGGTAAGTTGTTAGTGTTATAGCAAATTTTTGCTGGTTATTATATCTGCCAATTTGTTTTTTGATTTTTAAAGATTTTAATAACAAGTAATTTGTCAATATTTTATGAAAATCTCTGAAGCACAAATATGGCTTGGACAAGTAAACAAAACACCCTGCATTTATAGTGGAATGTTTTCTCACTAAAAGAGAATCTGTAACTGAAAACATTCCTGCTAATGATATTCTGATTACCAGTGATGAAGCTCATTTTCATTTGTCTGGTTTTGTCAATGAAATTAAATATTCCCTACTGGGCAGAAAGTAGCCCTGGAGAGCTAAATGAAAAGCCTCTTCAAAGCAAGTGAAAAAATCAGTGCTGTGTGCAGTTGGCAGTTTTGGGGATCATACTTTTTTGAGCAGGAAAGACAGTTTCGGTTATTTCAGCTCGTGTGCAGATACTGCAAAAATTTTTGATGCCAGAACTCGAAGACGCAACAATACGGTTTAAAAAAAGATAATGTAAAGAATTTACCATAATGAAAGAAAATCAATGGATGTTTTGCGAAGACTCATTACAACGCATTTGATTTATTTGGACAGTGACATGGGATGACCAGCACGTTCGCTTGAGCTTCCACTTAGTGATTAAGTTGAAGTCATTGTTTTTATGAAAAAGTAGCTTACACAAAATAATCAAATGCGTTGTTAAAGATGTAATAAAGATTTTTTACCAGTCTATTTTTTTGATAAAACTATATGAGAGGTTTTTGGCCTCACCCCGTATTTTCATCCGAAGCAGTAATGAAAGACTGGTTTTCAAACCTACCAGATTTGGAAATTACTCCACTTGGCGATGAAATCGCTACCTCTGAACTTGAGCCAGAACTTGAACCAGGCACCGATCTACTATCTGGTTGATCTTTTGAAATTTCTGCCCTAACAGAAGCAGGAAGTTTGATTCTAACAGTGAGGAGTCCACCTCCAGTAGTCACATCGCCCCCTTCCTTGTTGCTCGCACTTTCAATGGGCTGTGAGCGATTTGATCTAAGAATTTAACAGCATTATTAGAAACAGCAAATTGTATCACTGACATGTAACAATCTTATCAATCCCAAATTTATGACTACATATATGTATAAGCACTTCCCAGTCACAAAATCTTAACCACAAAATTCAATAACATGACAGATATAAATTGTTTATTACAGAGTGGGGCCCCTAACAGCAGTATCATTATTAGTGATTAGTGAATCATTTAATACTCATAAAAAATAATCAATTCAACTAACAAAATCACATTCAAACCTGTGTTTGTGGTGTCGCCTTTCCTTCTTTTGTCGGTCTTCTTCTTTCTTCTTTAATTTATGCAATATTGATTTTTCTTCATCAGTCAAAGGTTCACTTTGTGCCTACGAAAATCAACAGCACTTCGTTCAAACAAAGCTGACCAAATAATAATAATATTAATTTCAATCCTCCTTCTATTTGCTAGCATGTTTCGAAAAATACTTCAACGTGATAAAGTAATAATCAATGCAGATGCATTTCATGTCACACATCACGAGCCTCTATATCAAAACTATTTCTGAATATGTTGAAAGTCTATTTCTTGTTACTTATCGATTTTAATCGGTAAGTATGTTGATAGGTTTTTGTCTGTCTGTCTGTTAGGTGCACGCGATATCTCACGAAAGCGAGATTGAATCTGTATCAGATTTTGCATGTGCATTCATCATATCTCGGACCAGGAGCCTATTGATTTTGGGTGAATTATGGCGTATAATTAGAGAGTTATTAATTAATTAGTGATGGGAAACAAGGTGTCACTATGGAGTAAGAGCGCTGTTTTGGGGGGATCTCCTAACTTTCGATCGATAAGTCTTCGGTCTCTGACCAATATTTTCGTTTAAACCTTGAAAAAAATTAGGCAACAGAGCTGGAGCCGAGACCACTGTAATTTCAAACCAAATCCCCAGCCCCGATATTCATAATCGAATTCAAAAAGTATAAATCTCAATGAGACTGTACCTTAGTTTTCAACTGGTGCCACAAAGCATCAGGATTTTTTTTATATTGCTGATACATTACTTTATAGGAAGACTTTCCTTGACGTGACATGTGGCCAGGCATTTGTTCCTTATTCGGAATAAAAACTCCAGGTTGTATTTTATTATCTTTAAGAGGAGGAATACTAGGCGTTGTTGATTGTGTCGATTGCTTGGCAGCTGGTGTTGGATGCTTGACAGCTGGAGCAGAATGCCTTTCTTGTGAGCTAGTTGCGGTTTCTGTTACTAGTGGTTTTTCAGCCATCATTTGCTCCATTATTTTTTGCTCTACGCCGGCTAGTGAAGTGTCGTCTAAAAACCAAAATGTTTTTGTTAATTTAACTTTGACCTTATTGAAATTTGATGGAATCCGATTTGCCAACAAATTCAGGGATGGGCAAAATCATACACTTCTGAAATAATGTTTTAGAATATGAAATACTGGTCCATGGTCAACATAAGGATTGACAGAAATGATTATGACCCAATAAATATTGAATTGAGTATTGCAAAATACATAACCTGTTTTTCCTACACCTATGTACATACATAAAACATACAATACTTGAGATAAACACGTTTTTTTTTTTTTTTTACAATGTCAGAAGTTTAATTTATCAATTTGCCTAAATTAAATTTGTTTTTTAGAAATGATGAAAGATGAAAATATTCTGATTTATTCCTAATATATCAAAAAAGATAAATTTTGAATCAGCTAGTGTTATATATTTCCTGTTAACAAAGGTAATAAACTTAGCTGATATTTGCATAAAAACAGTTCTTGAAATCAATTCTCACAAATCCCATTCCTATGGAAATTATCCAATTTTTGAAAACATGGTATTGCAAAATACCAGCAGTAAGTCAGATGTATGTTACTGCACATAAGTTACCACAACATCGAAGGGCAGGCGCTTATTGTATAACAGAGACAGATTTAAGATTGCGCACTAATATTCGGTTCGATTCGACGAAAATATACCATTTGAATCAGAAAATTGTTCGGTTTTGGACAGCCCTAGGTGTGACCAAGTTTAAAAAAGCACATACCATTTGGTAAATCAGTATTGCAATCAGAAGATATAGCAGAGTTACTTTCTGAACGATGTTGAACCTAAAAATAAATATACAAATCACTACAATTAATATGCTTAATTCAAGCAAATCCATAAAATGATTATATCCATAAAGCGATGATCATCACAAATTGAGATGTTTGAAATTGTTCTTTTAAAACTGAAGTTTCCAAATATAAGATCTCATACTAATCAAGCTTAGAACATTTTAAAACAGATTTGGATAAAAGTTTCAAAAAACCAAACAAGCTGAACCGATTAATATCAAATAATGGTTTATGTATACTCATGTTACAAAAGTATTAGGTAATATACTAGCACAGTGCTCCCCCATCAGTGGGGGGCTATTCAAGATAGGCCGCGACGCATTTCCAAATGTTACACACAGCTTTCAATTGGATCTGGGAATTGTGGCATTATCATTCCGTAACAATAACACTAATGAAACCAGGGTTGATATGCTTTATTTAAACACCCTAACTTTGTTTGATTCTTGTTAAGTCACAAAATGGTTAGTTTTTCTATAAGAAAAGATAACGAAGAAAAAGAAAGCTCAAAAAGTTTTAGTGAGAAAATATGACTATGATTACATCAAATGTGGTTTCATTTGGGCAGAAAATGACTGAGCCAAAAGTACAATGTGTTGAGTGTCAAGGCTACGTTGCACATGAGCTTGTCTCCTATCAAGCCCCCGACTTGATCTGATAATATCCAATATGCAAGCTCAAGTTTCGCATTAACAGTAAATTGCATGTGGATACATTGTTTCTTTTCCCACATGTTACAATTTTATTGTGGGTTGCACAAAAAAAAATGGCAATATAAGTGGGTCGCGAACTGAGAAATGTTGGGAAGCACTGTACTAGCAATAGCAAGCCCAAAAATCAAAATATATCAAGGAACTATTTACTACAGAATCCTTTGGCCGTTTGTTGGAGTGTTGTTTGCGATGGACTTGTTGATGTGTATTCTGTAGATGACCTTTATAGTGGAGAGAATCTTTGGAGACTTGACTTGTGGAGTGCTTTGGTTTTTTAAGACCAAGTATAGCACTAGGTACAGAAGGCGGGCGCTGCGGTGTATGTTGTTTCTTTTCAGGCTTTAAATGATGGTTTGCAGAGGTAGATTGCATTTTAACAGGCTGTTTGCCAGACTCTGATTCAGTTAAGAGGGCTCTGAGTCCACTACAAGTTTTGTCCGATTTTGTTGAATTGTCAATCTGGCCATGACGTTGATGTAGATGTTTTTGACTACTAATAGCAGGTTGATGACTATGATGTGGTGCCAAAGCTGAATATAAGAGTTATAGTATTTATTGATGATGATCACCGCACACTACACCAACACAATAGAAAAGCACATTTCAAGTACAACAGGAGTCAGGACTCAGGAAAAATAATACATTTATCAACAGTAGCCAGTAAGCTGTCATCAGTCTTCAAAACAAAAAATCACTAATGAAAAGAGCACAACAAAACTTACTATCCCGGACTTCACGTTGATTATATACTTTTGATAAATTTTCAGAAGGCAAGATACTTTGTTTGCTCTGAAGTTCCTTCTCTCTTTTATTTTTGTACTCTGCCAAACTCAAGCTAGCTGTAGGCTTTTTTTGTTGCTCACTATAAACATTGAGTAAAAATTGCTTATAAATACTACATAATAAAAAGTTTTGAGAAAAACTCAAAAAACAATTTGGAATTTTTATATTTTTGAAATTTTAGATATTCACATCTAGTAAAGACCTGAGCTCTGGTTTTTTATTGTGGATGAGAATATCTTTGTAATCAATAATTTTTGGCACTTCAGCTTTAAATCCTTCCTGCTTTTTTACCCCCATAAAGGATTTTGGTCCATTCTGTTCTCAACAACTTCTGAAATTTTTTTGTATGGGATGCAAACTAAAACAAGATGACTTAGGCCTAAGTTGCACTGAACAAATTCTCAGGGATGTAAGTTTCGGACATTTCATTTCTGATGTTCATGCCCATCATATTGGAACTTAGGACTAGGCTTGCACGTAATTTACGGATTTACGTAATTACGTAATTATTTGGAGTTACGGAAGGGAAGTTACGTTACGTAAAGTCGTAATTATTGCATTGAAATGAGCTTTCTTCAAAGCAGTCAATTTCGTCGATTGCGAAAATGAAAGCTCAACAAGTAGAAGAAGTTAGAGTTCCGGTATTCGCAGCCGTTTTTCTCTCTCTTGTTACGTAGGTGAAGGAAGGCATGACGCGTTGCCATATACTAACCTATTATCAACTTATCTGGCGTGGCCAATGTAAATTATTAACGTAGTTAATGGGGGAAGAACTGAGTAGGGCCGTTTGACGCCAACACACCTGGTTTTAACTTCTCCCGCAACTTAACCGTAGATAAGGGATAGAATTGCGTTGAGACCGATTGACGCCAACACACCTGGTTTCAACTTCTCTCGCATCTTATCTAGCATGGCCACGGCCAATGTACATAATAACCGTAGATAGGGGGAAGAATTGTGTTAAGATAGATGGACGCTAACACGCCCGGTTTCAACTTCTTCGGGTGAAATGACTAATGAACGCAGGAGATCAATCTATCAAACATGGTCTATCAAACATTTGTATCCATTTTACTTTTATTTATTATTTACTTGTTCCAGTTTTCCGTTACTTATGGTATATATGTTCCGTTTCTATTTTATTCTATTTTATAGTCACGCGTTTGAATAGTGGGAATTCCCCACCAAGTGTGGATTAGCAATGCTTAACCATTCTTTATTTCGCGACGAATTGGAACCAAATAAGCGAAAAGAGCGATTGATCACTCGCGCCAATACCTCGCCGTGATAATTAATGTCGCGCTTATCAAATAGCAATATGACGACAAAAGAGAGATTGCGTAATGAACCAAAACGACGGATTCCTCGCGGACCGTTGAAAATTTAACTGCTATCATATATAATCGAATATGAGCCTGTGTGTTTATTCTGTGCGAGATCCATTTTCTATTACAAAATCTTGATGTTCTGTTAACGGTTTTATCGTTATATATCAGTCCAGACTTGGCCTTGCTCATGATGTTTTTCACAATTCCTCTCAATATTTCGGCCATATATGATTAACTGTCTTACCAAATGCGGCAACTTATTTTGATTTATCGTCGACTTGAATACCACCGGCACTCGACCAAACTTTTGTCAATCTTGGCCGATAGGATCGCCGACTTGAGTTAGCAAATAAATGTTGTGAGTGTAAAATAAATGTCACAAAATGCATTGTTTTGCGATTTAACTTTGTATTTTCGGAGAAGGCATGTCATATAAGTTCGGTATTTAAATTATACGCAAATAAATAATATTTGATCTAAATTTATCGCAAATAATGTTATAAACATTCAGTCCGCGAAATGATTGAATGTAAAATGAAGCATGGTAATAGGAATATCGTCAATAAGTCGACATCAATAATTATTATTATAAAAATGCTAACAAGGCAGTAATGTCGGATAATGCAGAAAACGCTGCAAAAACAAGTCTTCGTCGCGAGGAAATCGCAAGTATAATCAAATGAGAAAATACGCTCGTCGTTGGTTAATAAATTAGAAACCCGTAATTTTTATTCAGTACTCAGGTGGTTTTAAAAAACTATCGTTTCCATAAATATCCGTATACCAGTGTCGGTAATGATAAAATAAAATTGATCGCACAAAAATGGGACGGTTAATTTGCGAAGGTGATAAAGAAAAACCAAAGCTAACACAAAAGATAAAAATCAGAATAAAATTAATTTGAATTCACTCCTTGATAGTTGTCTTTAACATCTGCCGCCGGCGTGTAGTACTGCCAAGAATAGGAAAACCCAACTTCAATGTCCCATTCGGAAAAAAAGTGGATTCAATTGGTTGTTATGATAGGTTTAAATGCGTGGAAAAATATCGCAATTACGGGGTCATTACGTAATTGATTTTGCCGTAATTACGGAATTGGTTTTTGTCAATTACGTGCAAGCCTACTTAGGACTATCTTTTTTCAATATTTTGGGGTATGAGCCATGCTCTACAAGGTGGTGGCCTTTAAATCTTGAATTTCTCAATAATAAAAATTTTATTATCGCTGTTCTTGCTTTAGTTGAAATATGTATGTCTGAGGAAGTTTGACTTTGGTCAGACGAAACGTTACAGAAATATATTTGTGCTAGTGTGCAGCAAGACTATTTATTGAATTACTCAGGATAAAAATTTTAGCTGGACTTAGGCCCATTCTGTTCTTAACTTCTACAAAATATTATAGTCCCAAGTCCAGCTAAAATTTTTATTATTGAGAAATTCAGGATTCAAGACCCCCACCTTGTAGAGCATGGCTCAAAACCCCAAAATATTGAAAAAAGTGAATTTTCCAAAAATGTGACTTAGCCCCCCTGGCGATATACACAATGTAACTAATTAGTCCCAGTGCTATAATGCATTATGTTAAGCTTATTCATTTGAAATACTGATACTAAACTACCTTTGACTTTGATTAGAAATGGTTGTTCGAGATTCCAAAGACGAATGTGGCACTTGTGCACTGTGTGGTCCAGGTTGGTAACCTAAAGGCACAACAGATATCATATTGAGAGTTAGCAGTTCAGAAAAGTGGTGCTAACCAGTTTCATTGCCCGCCTACAAGGTTTTCAGAGCGAAACCCCTCCCTCCATCCCCTTTGAACTTTTTGGAGGACTGAAATAGTCGCTAAATGTGCATGAAATTTTCAGGGGGTGAATTTTATATAATCGCCCATTGTTTTCGTAAGTGTGACATGATTAGTTAGACTATAACATCTTTATACCGGTTCTGCAAATTTTCACGGGTATCCATTCTGCCATGAGGACAGCAATAATTATATCTTTTTTTTTCGTGGAATCAGACGTACAATGAGAAAAACGGCTTATTACACAAGCATCGTCGATAAGATGACAAAGGTAATGAGCATAGTTAAAACGCAATAAGAAACGCATAGTTAACGTATAAGAAATATTTAAATTTTGACGAACTCGAATGCAATTCAAAAACATCCAAATTTGTGTATGTGAATAACTTGTACAAATATTTTACTGCAATATTACGTACTTCCCGAAAGGCCGCCTTTCACAATAATACCCATTCCTCGCCGCAGCTCATGTAAATAATATGAAATAAAATTACCATACAACAACAATATTATTACTGCAACAAGAAGCCAAACAAATTTACAAAACTACTTTCAAACAACCGAAAGACATTTGAATCAGAGTGCTACCTCCAAGCGTTGAAAAAGAATGCAACTGCCGGATTATTTATTATATTAGCAGTAGGACATCGTCCTGGTAATACATGAACTTATCTGCACTAGTATTTACGGAGTGCATTTGCTAACAAGAGACATCAATAAGTCCAAGCTCTGGTACAATAAATATTACAAATTTTTCACATCCAGTTATATTAATGTCTATGTTCAATGTTGCAAGCCATATATTATCGAGAAGGGCAGAGTCAGAAAATAGTAAAGAATTTTGATAAAAAAATTGTAAGAACGTTCCACTCCCTATCTAAATTACCATTCCTAAATGACAAATGCTGGCCAAATGCCTAAATGTTAGACAAAATCTGTAATTTTATCTAATTTCAAAGTAAAATAACTAACCCATAGTGATTATATTTAATTTGTCTGTGTTGTTTGGCTGAAGCATATAATTAGGACTAGGGCTGTCCAAGCGAACCAAATATTCGAATTCGAATTTAATCGCAAATTATTCGAATCGTTTTTCGACTAATTTCCGAATCACTAAAATTAGGTACAGAAAGCGGAAACCACCTTTGCAGGACGTTTTTCATCGGACAAGCGGCGGCGCTTCGAGCTTAGACCACTCTCGCTCCCGGCTTAATTGGTTTCCCGATATTTCTCCCGCCTTCATTTTGTGATAAACATGTCATTCCTAATGCCCGCCCTGTGGCACGTGATTAGCCATTTCATGCTTGGTCATCATATAACTTAAAAGTTATAATCGGTAATGACGTTTTTGAGAGTGTACACCATTTCATGCATGGTCATAATAACTTAAAAGTTATAATCGGTAATGACGTTTTTGAGAGAGTCACAAGGAGAAAAAGGCAAATTAGAAAACGATAGTTCTATAAATAGAATCGATTTGAAGCTGTTGAGTTAGTTATCATAGGAACATGGTACAGGCAACTCAAAGCTGAAACAAGTTTTTTTGATCCTTATGATGGCAATACCTTCTTTCAATGGAATTTGTAATTTCTTATAACAAATAATTGTACTCTTGAATTTTGATTGCATATTATAGTCATCAAATAGTATTGTCATCAAACTAGCTTCGAATTTGTTAAATGCAATTTTGAATTTGAGCAACAGTTCTATCTATATTAATGGTTGTTATTATTTTGCTGAAAATTACACAAAAAAACATAAGACTAGTGAATAGGATTAGAATAGCATTTACAGGCTTTACATGTCCTATTAAATGAATCCATTAGAATTGAGATTGCAATTTTTGAATCTTAACACTCAACAGTTTTCGAGACCCAAATTTTGGAGTCCTCCAATTTTTTTTGACCAGTTCATGCAAGCGTGTGATCACCTTTCATAAATCTGGAAACATTGTATTGCAAAATACCAGCAGTAAGTAAGATGTAACTGCACATACGTTACCACAACATCGAAGGGCAGGCGGTTATTGTATAATAGAGACAAATTTAGGATTGCACAAAAACATTCGATTCGATTTGAATCAAAAAATTATCCGAATTTGGACAGCCCTTAGGACTCATCACAAACCATAGCGCATTCATTCAAATTTTTCGGTCTGATTTTAGGGTTACAGACTATCCTTCATTGTTTTCCTGAATCTTCATAGCAGGATATTTAATAAAGCTTATTATTAATTAAGTGTTTGCAGAGCTGTAGGAAATGTCTTCAGCTATTTAACAATTTATTACCAGAATTTTAACCCTTTCCGTGCGGTGGGCACGTATACGTACCCACGACAAAACTCGCTAGATTGCGGCGGGTACAATGATGTACTCCACTGTTTTATTTAGCAATCGGTCGCAAACTGTTGATCTAGTTTTTCCGCGTTTTAGTTTATTGATAAGAAGTCTTCTTCGAGATTAACATAAGCGACGGTAAATCTCGCTTTCGTTTACCATGGGAATTTTATTTGCCGCGAAACGAGGGAGTGTTTTTTAAATTTATGCAAATTTCGATGTTTTTTGGGTGGTAATAGAAGACATATTATCTCTTCCATCTACCGAAGTATTTTGAGTTAGATAACGAAATTGCTACAGCAATATTATGCTATTATTTGCCAACCAAGAAGCGGTAACAGTAAAGGATTTAGCGAATATTTCTATTTTTTATCACGGTTTGAAGTTTCAACACCCGAAAAAAAAAAAAATGCCTTTTCTCTATCCGTTTTTTTTTAATCGCCGATTGCAAGCTCTTTAAATAAGCTTTCCAACGAGCCGTCAGTGGGCAGCAGAGGATCATTACTTTTTCGTTAGTCGATCGATTAGTTGTGGGGGTACAAATGCATAAAGTCGGCGTAGCCAATACGATTATTTAATAAAAAATAAAAATCGCATGGAAAGGGTTAGGAGATGATAGTGGCTGCTGTTCCAAAGTGGAAAATGTCCCGCAGTGTCACGTCCTGTAGTGTCACACACAATATGAATATTATTGGCATAGATCTACAGTGATACATTATTAATATGTAACTTGAGCAACACATAAAGAGGGCCTTCAGCTACTGCAACAGAAAGTAGTATGGGCTCTTGATGTACCATCGTCACAATTTACAACACAACACAATGAAACGTTAATGCATGGTGGTCATAGGGCTGTTCAAACGAACCGAATATACGAAATCGAATGGAATCGCAATTCGGCCAATTTACGAATCCTAAAATTTGGTACATAATTCGCCTCACAACCACCTTCACACCGCGTTTTTCACCGGGCAAGCAAAAACATGTTTCTATCGCTTTCCTTGCTGTATAAAGGTCTCTCCTATTGCCCGGTGACATGTAATTATCCATTTCATGCATGGTCATAAATGGAAAGTGACGTTTTTTGAGAGAACACAAGGAGAAAAAAGCAAATTTTGTGTCAGCAAATTTTGTGTCAGCAAAAACGCCAGTTCTATAAATAGAATCGATTTGTAGCTGTTGAGTCAGTAATCATAGGAACATGGTACAGGCGCGTTTTGGAGTTCCAATACCTTTTTCCAATAGAATTTGTAATTTTATCTAATGGCAATACTTTGTTTCATCCATTTATTACTATGACAAATAATTGCACTCTTGTGAGTTGATGGCTGTTGTACAGCAACAATATGGTCATCAAATATTAATGTCATCAAACTAGCTCTGAATTTGTGAGTTCCCGAAATGTAATTTTGAATTTTTTGGGCAACAGTTATATCTATATTAATAGTTGTTTATCATTTTACTGAAAATTACACAAAAAATATTGAGTTAATAATACTAATGATAATAGGACTGAAATAGCAACTACGGGCAATAAAAGAGTCTGTGCAATTTCCAACTCTTAAAACTTGATAGTTTTTGAAACCCTAATTTCTTGACCAGTTCAAGGAGGCTTGTGATCTCCTTTTATAACTCTGGAAACATAGTTATGCAAAATATTTGCAATAATTTAGATATAACTGCACATACGTTATCACAGTATTGAAGAGGAAGTTTTTATTGTACATCAGAGACAAATTTAGGATTGCGCAATAATATTCGATTATTCGGTTCGATTCGAGAAAAATATTCGCTTCGATTCGAATCAAAAAAATATTCGATTTTGGACAGCCCTAATGGTGGACTTGTCGCCCCGTAGCGTCACGCTATATTTTACTATATATTCTATATTTGCTAAGTAAGTCTTGTGTGTAACTTTTGTGCAATTCTGTCAAACCCCATAAAGCAACTGATTGGACAATGACAAAAAACTTGTAGCTGGAAATGTAAAAATATATTTCATCTAACACAGTGGCTCCCAACCTTTTTCGTGTCGCAATTCGCGACCCCCTTTGGATATTTTCTAACATACCGCGACCCCTTTCAGTTTCACAATATATGCTGAATTTAAATTAGTAGGTCCAACACAAGAAAGGATATTAAGCTTTAATGCGTTTTCTGCAAAATAGTTATCTTGGATCAATTCAAATACTATTAAATTACCCCTTTACGCCCAGGGTTGGACTATTTAGGTGTATTAGTTTTGACCAGAAAATACTGTCAAAATCAGCCTGGGCGGTACCGGTGAATACAGAAATGAAAATGCATAAATCGTAGTTTCATGTTACTCATTTCATATAATGTTTACCTTCTGTAGACAAATTTCCAGGCTAACAATTGAATTGGTATTAGAAGATGAAAACGAGGGCCCTTACAGTTGCGAGATTTACGTGCAACACTTGAAATTGAAAAAAAACCAAGAACATAATCAGATGACATTTTGAAGCTGCCACTTCTACAAAAATTTCCTGCCGCTACTGCAAAGTTTCTTGTCAAATAATATTACAACGCACAAGTGGTAAAATTAGACACTTATTGCAATTGCAATGCTTACCAACCTGTAACCTCTATGTATATATCGTAAGCACTTCATATTGAGTACATATTGTGTAGCACTAATAATAATTCAGTTTTTTATGATAAATCACAAAAGCGGTTCATTAGAGATTCAATAAATAATATAGTATTCATAGAGAGGGGGGAAGGGTTCCAAAAGAGGTAAAGTCAATAAAAAAAGTTGGGAATCACAGACTTATAGTCAAATTAAAATGTGTGCTGTCAATAGATGAGACGCATGTTGGTAAAAGTGTTCTGAAGTGGAACCCTTAGTTTGGGATTGATCAACTCAAAGCCTTAAAAATTGGTTTCCATTGTTTCTCGTTTTTAATTTATTTTTTCCACCTCTGACTAGGATTTTATAGAAAAAGTTGCACTTAAAATTATTTTGTTCCCTAGGTTTCGCATCTTCATCTACCATTAACTTTCAATATAAGGGTAACATATTATGATGCTAAACTACTACATGAACCTCAAGATTGCCAACAGTTTCCAGGACATGTACGATTACCACAGTTTATAAAACTGCATTAGTGCCTGTATATGAAACAATTCTTACCTTTACTTGTCGATAATTTGAGTTGTTGGCCATCTTTCGATTGGGGTGTTGATCCTCCGCCTCCATCTCTTGATGATGGCTGGATGTTTAATATTTCATTCATCAGGGATGTCAGAAGTTGATTTTTAGAATTACGAAAAAGCCTCAGAAAGCCTTTATATTTGCCCAGTACACCCATTCAAACAATTACAAACATGGGAAAGATATAAGATTTTCAATATTTTGAGTCTTTTTTTCAAAAATGCTTTCAATGAACACCAAATCAAAATTTTCAAAACAAAGAGGGTTGTTATTTACCTGAATTTAGTTCAAGAAACAATAGAAGGGAGTTGAAAACACAAGGCTTTCAAAGGCTATGTGCAGAATGTTGTAGAGCTTTAATTCTCCCTTAAATGAGCACAAAGTGTCGGGATCGCCAGCCAATATACCGAAGGGTGACTTTTTGCTGTCTACCTAGTTCATTTCAAAACTTGAGACTCGCTTTTGAAATCTAATGATTAACATCAGATGTCACCATACTTTGGCTTTGACTAACCGACACTGTAGCGCCTCTTAAGGGGGAATGTGGAGCTGTGAGCATTAAAGATTTCATGACGTTTTCCCAACAAGTAAACCAAAGTGCGATCCTGTCCATGACAAAGAGAAAAAGAAATGCATCGAATTGTGATAAAATGTAATAACGCTAAATATGTTATAAATTAGATATTCAATTAAATTCAAAATATATGCTATTCATTAGACATTCAGAAGTTTGTTTAACAAAGCAACTTTTACTGTACAAAATTTAACATTTTATTAAGTTATTCATCAGGAAATCGTTTCAATATACAATGACAAGGTGATAGGTGCTTTCCAAACTATATGATAATTGAGAAATTGAGTTTCGCCAACTGGACTTGGAACAATATGTAACAATATGTATCCATTTACAGGACAACAATTTTAATTATTCTTGATTGTCATCACTTTATTAATAGTTATGATCTTGGAGTTACTGAATTTTTATGTACAGGCCTACATTCAAATGGGAACAGCCTCACATTTCAAAAATTCAGCGGAACATAGCTGAAAAGTTCCGATTTTTTTTCTACCACATACACTTGCAAAAGAGTCTTATTCAACAATGACTCATCTGAAGTTAATGAAATGTTATAACCTAAAAATACTTGAGGACAAAATTTGACAGTCTTTATTTCAACCCAATATTCAAATTATGTGTTTATCCCACCAAATTCATATATCGAATAAAATTGAGGGTTGCTGTTATAAGGATTTAAAAAATAAACAGGAACATGTCTCGAATGTACAAAAAGTTTGGAAAGCACTGCATTAGATTTTAGGTAGCATAAGCTTTAGCCTCACATGCTTGAGATATCAGTCAAAAAATTATCAATTCAATATACACAGGAATTTTTAGCAGTTTCGTTGGTTATAAAATAGTTTTACCTAAATAAGCTATTACCATGTGGAAAGATTCTCAAAGGTGATATTTAATAAGCACAAACCATTCATGTGAATGTTTGAATGCTTGTGACTGTGATTGATCAGCATAGCCTTTTGTTTTTTCACAGCTGCTAGCCTTGTACAAAGCATACTGCATATTTGAATAATTAATCAGTCGTATACCCTCGCATATAAGCCGAGTTTGAAACTAAAAAAAATGTTGCCAAACTAAGGGGTCGACTTATACGTGCACACCTCTGATCAACTAAAGGATCGGCTTATAAGCGCATAACTCTGATCGCGCTCAAACAAAATGACATCATGCTAACTTAATTCCAACAGCTACAACTCGAACCATGCTTGTGTTCTCACGGTAAGAACGTGTATGTAGCACGCAAAGCACCGCTTGGTACGCTATGACAGCGATAACAGTCTGTGATCGGTTGTCATACACGTGATCTCTCGCCTGTTTACGCTATGACAGTAATAACAGTTGTAATTGGCTGGTAATACCTGTGGTCGCTTGCATGTTTACGCTATGACTGCAATAACAGTCTGTGATTGGCTGGTCATACACATGGTCATTTGCGTGTTTACACTATGGCAGCAATACCAGTCTACAATTGGTTGTCATACACATGATCGCTTGTGTGTTGGACGGACGATTGGACGGTCAGTACAGTTAAAAAAAAAATACCAAAGAAATGTCTGGTTCTATATATACATTGCAGGACTGGAAAGATCTCTTTGGGGAGTTTGACAGTGATGGTGAGGATGAATTTGAAGGATTTTGAGCATTTTCATAATTCTCTTCTACAACCATTTGCTGTGACACTGCGTGTTACGATTTGTAGGGTTGGCTAATATGTGAATTGTTATAAATTCATTGTTTTAGTGCCGCTTTTAATGGGTTGGCTTATATGCGAGATCGGCTCATATGCGAGGATGTACTAAATTTTGAATCGCTTGACAGCTCGATAAAACAAATAAGGTCAAAAAAATGCAGAACCACATACACACCTTATAATTTTTAAGTTTTCTCAGCCTGGTTGGGCAAAGATTGAGAATGTCAAGGAATTCTTTAATGATGTTTTCTAACATTGCTTCAGTAATTGTGGAATCCATATAAGTCCAATATGCTCTGCCAGTAGAGGATAGAGGAATCTGAAAAAATGCCAAGATAATATGACCTCTTGCTAAAACCGACCGTTACATTAACAGCATTCCCTGTTTCGATTATTACCAGATAAGCAATACCTATGAATGACACAAATAACATAAAGGATAAGTAAACTGCTAAAGTTTAGTGCTAAATGTTTGCTGATGTAAATAATTAGTATACAACCCCAGCAAGTTTAATGCCCCTTACCTCATTTTAATGAGGTTATCATAGGCATTTGAAAGATTCAAATAATGAAGATATGTATAAAATGGTAGATTGTTTTTATTAAACCCTAACTTCTATTGTATAAAATGAATGATTCACAATATAATTAGGCCACATTATCAATAAGGGTGGGTGATACAGAATAATTTAGTAATTTTTAATCTGCAAAAATCGAATCTAGATGACTGAATGACCGAGCGAGCATGTGCCAATCTCGGATGATCTGAACAAACTCCCAAAACGTACATACTGTTTATTGAGTCCCAAATAGAAGTGGTGTCGTTAGGGGCAAAGTGGTTTTTAGTTTGCCAAATTCAAATTTTTCTCAAACTATATTCATAAAACATTCAACGTCTGGATTTTTGTTTACAACTTTATTTTTTGAAAAATGTGGAAGCATCCAACAAACATTTAATGTAACATTTTGCAAAAACGTTTTTTAACTATGAGCACTGTAGTAAACACATGCGAGATGGAAGAAATCTAAAAATATTCGCGTAAAAGAGAACTACGTCACCTTTCAGACAAGTCCAGACCGGTTTTGGAATTGAAACTAAACGCGAGATATTGAAGAGATATGAGCGCTGTCCGGTCATCTCCTTTTTTGTTTTGTTTATAACGGTATGTGCCGCAAATCGATCGCTTGCTCGTTCAAAATACTTTTCTTTCAAATCCCCTTTTTTCCGCTGTTCCAAATCGACTTTTGTACCCATTTTATCATATGTAATAACTAGTTAATCAAACATGAAAGAAACACCCCCAATATCCCGCTGAAAAGAGTTTTTTTTGTCGTTTTTTAATAACAGTATTCAGATATTCGGCGCGCTATTTCTCATTACGCCATGCCGCATATAAGAGAAAAATTTTAAGAAAAATTTTCTCACTCTTATCGCTGCGGTGAACATGTGTTACAAAAAAAGAGATTTCGAGTGCTCTTCTGAACGAGCGTTACGTAACCTTTGCAGAAATACCAGAGTGGGCTTCGCAAGTGAAACACGAAATAATCAATGTTATGTGAGAGCATGTTTACGATAGATGTCTGGAATCTTTGTTTGTTTATTATGTGCGCGACAGTATTTCTCGCTCGTTAAAACTACTTATCTTTGGAGCAATGACAAATTCTTTCGTGTATTTCTAAGCTTTGAAATACTTACACAAATAAAATTCACTTAGTAGTAAAATAAAAAATTTACAAAAAAAATATGATGACGTCACCGTGGTTACAAACACTTGGATCAAGCATGGATCATAGTTGGATGCCTAAAATGATTTTAGTTAATGCGGGAATACTTCACAAAACATAAAATAGCCCGATTGTCACTATTATTGTCATATTATGACCAAGGATGGTGGAGTGCGAATATATGGGAGATTCGGAAAAAAAGAGTTAAGTCAGACCAAATTCTTTGTATATTTCTAAGCTTTGAAATATTTACACACATAAAATTCACCATGTAGTAAAATATACGAAAGCAACATGATGCGTCTCCGTGGTTATAAACACTCGGATAAAGCAAGGATCATGGTTGAGAGCTTAAATTGATTCATATTAATGCAGAAATACTTTGGTCACAACACAAACCTGAAAATACATCTTATTGCCACATTATGACCAAGGATGACACTGTTACCAATATATCGATCTATCGGAAAGAAAGAGGTTAATAAATGAAAAACATCATAAATTTTGCGATATTTTAGACACTGTAAGGCGCCAAGATTATTATGCCATACTATGCTGTTTTAATCAGATGGTTTTAGAACCTTATTTTATATAGTTTGATTTTTGCTTAGTTTATGGTATTAATTAATTGCCTGGTTCATCATAAATATATACATGGGTTAGAATATCTATAAAACAATTTAGTTCTTCATCACTGACCTATTTATTTTCAATAAAAATATCAATTTTTTGATATGTTCAGTTAGGTTTGGTACATTTTTTTTCTAAAAACCCACAACACAAAAAACTAAGAAAAAATCCAAAACAAACAACATGATAATTAGGTGGGAGACCCTTTCAAAATTTTCCTTGAAAAGGGCCTTCCGGAAGGCCCTGGTAACTTGAAAAACATATATTTTAGTAATTAGAGAATGTACCACCATCAACATAATAAGTAATATTATTTTAAGTCAAGTTATTTAACAAGAAAGTTATTTTCTGTGTTTTTTTCTGAAATCGCATATCTCTACCACCTTATGAGAGCCTGTCATGTGAAGATTATCTTGAAAGATTTGGTTGCTACCATTGCCTTTGGTAATGAACTATGACAGCTTTTATCAGCGGAAAACCCAATATTGCTTCGAATTAACAGTTGACGCAAGATCACACATCTTTAAAACCAAAGGGTCCAGTTCTCACATGGTTATGATAACAAATAGATTTGCAAATAAGTTTCTGCGACTTTCGGACTATGAATATTTCCAGAGTGTCATTCTTATTTGTTGCTGGTGAAAATTATTCTTTATAAAATTTATCGGCAAGTACATCTAGTTCAGATAGGCTACTTGCTATATCATAATTCGAATTCTCTATGTTCTCCTCATCTGAAATTTCAGGTCTTAAATCTTTATAGTCGATGTCACACACTGTATTATCATAATGAAATGTCACTCTAGCTTTCTTCAATAAAATCTTTATTAAATATCAACCCCTCAACCACAAATTATAATGACACTGAATTCAGCAGCGTTAAACTTTGCAGTATTCGTCATGGAAATATCCTTCTGTATACCTTCAACTTAAATATATTATTCCATTAATCTGTAATATGATAATCTGTATTTAATTTTGGATTCCTTTAAAAAAGTGGTTATTTTCATAGGGCCTTCCAGAAGAGCCTTCATTTTTATCTAACAATGTCCAAGTTTTCTATACCAGTAAACATTCTTTACTGTATTTTGTTTCTCAATAAATCAAGCAACCAACATGAAATCCTGTTTCGTCTGAAAAAAGTACCTGCAAATTGCAATTACAAAGAATACATTTTTTGAAACCGGAACAACAAAATTTTGTCACATTCATAGATCAATGAACTAAGTAACTTTCTAGTTTTTGAATATATAAAGACAAAATAATTACTATATTATCTGGTCATACACCGGCCTGCGACTACAACTTTTCGTGCTTTCATCTAGCACTTTATTATTGTTCAATTTGGTCAATATCGTTGAACAGTGAAAAAAAAAACATAGGGACTTTATGCAACAATTAGGACATTATCAAGTGGTCGCAGCCCATTTCAATCGTTGTATGTCTATTGAAAATCACAAAACAGTAAAAAAGTGCCTCGATTAATGCCTGGATTGCTCATATTTAGGATTATTGAAAAATACAAATTTTAAGGATTTTCATTGGTGACAAAAAGTTCTTTTTTTCAATATTTGGGCAGACAAAAAAAAAACTATGTGTAGCAGTTATTATTGAACTATTCAGAGCTGAAATGTTTAAGTTTTTTTTACTATATCTACTTTGATTGACTTTATTGCAAAAATGACCCAAAAAAGGGCCATCCCTTTTCATGTCATATTAGGGATTCGATTCTGGATTCAATATTCTAAATTTCTCACCCCTATTTATAAGTGCATGAAATCCTATATCATTGGATATTGTAGATTCATTATGAAATGTAAAGATTTCAGGATGTTACAGTACCTCATAATTAGACCATTTGCATGAGAGATGAATACACATTGCAGATACAACAGTTGGTTTATACTTCAGACAGAATGTGGTGAGGTGCAGACTGAAATGAATACGTAAATATATCATTTTAGTGTTAAATAGCAAAAGAAGGTAATGTGAAATAGTTGTTGTACCTGTTTGTAGCCATGAAGTAAGCCATCTGGGACAAATCTCTGCTCGCTAATAAAAAAAAAAACAGAATATAAATACATGGGTGTCATTGCACAATTTATTATGAACATTTGGCATTGCAGTTAGGATTCCCCTTTTGGATTTAGGAATCGGATTGATTCGAATCAGATTTACGTGGTCTAGAAAAAAGACAGCGATACACCGAAAAGAAACAAACATTGATCGGTCGACATTTTAGTTTTTCAAAAATTCTAAAATGGGGAGGGGGGTTAATAAGCCAATATAACAATACGTGAGATACTACAGTCATGTAAACTGGTGTGTGACTACTGGCAGCTGTGCTGTTACATTTATAACATACCAACATAATAAAGCTGTTCACTGAGTATATTTTCACATATGAATTCCATCAAATTACCTCAATCTTAATACAGGGCTGCACGCTCAAAGCTACGAGTTGCTAATACTGAAGCGCTCGATATATCTAGGGCCTACATTATTTTTTATCATGACACATTCAGTGAAAAAACTCCACCACCCTTGCTATAGCATGGTTGCGTGTCAGTTTTTTCTCTACTAGAATTGGGCTTGTTATGTTGTGACTTTGAGCTTATTCAAAAACCTTATTCGAAAATTTTTTTCATAGAAAGCCTAATGGATTCAGATTCGAGATTCAATTAGAAAAAATGTTTCAGAAGTGGCAAATCTAATAACCGTCCATTTTATACTACAATCTATTAAATGACTAAAATAACTACAGAAAATCCTAAAGAAAGTGGTAGAGCTTGTTTGTTGTGTCAACAAAATTTTCCAGCAAGCAATTGAAGAGCAGTTAATGGTGTTGCATAGAGCAGGGCTACTCAACTATTTTTATCGAAGGTCCACAAACAAAACTTCAAAATTATTTGGGTCCGGTCTTTCCAGAAATGATATTTCGGCATCCTTAAACGAGCACTTCCTCGACCGACTAATGATTAGTAGCAAATTAAAATTGTTTATTATGGTGTTATAGTTCTTTTCGTACATATTCAAAACTATGAAAGTCATTTTATAATAGGAAATTCAAAAAGTGGGGCTAATGATCCAAAATAAATTATTAGGTGCGGTCCAAATCCAATACTCGAAAGGTCCGGATTGGGACCGCGGTCCGCCATTTGAGTAGCCCTGGCATAGAGGAGAGTTATAAAAAAAGCTCTAGGCAGGCGTTAGGGGGGTGTCTAACTTATTAACTTCTCATCTAAACATTATAGAGAGTTGAAAGAATAGATAAATATTCAAATTTCAATATCCACAAAATCATTATTTGTAACCAACAATAATGAATCTGATTGCAGAAGCTCTTCCTCCAACTACAATGAATGTGACACTAAAGTTGGCCGAGCGAAGGATTGAGGTGAAAAAGACACTAATCAAAGCAATTGTGTTTTTCACGAGTGAACTGTTGAATTTTCACAATTACTTTAATCAATATGCAAGCTCTTACATTTAAATTCCATGTAGCCTAATTTAATGTGATAGGCTACACAAGAATGATCTTTAATCTGTGTATAGGCCACCCCTAGGTTTAATTAACACATTAATATGTTGAATTGAATAGATACCTTTCACAAGTTGAGTACACTTGACAACATGTGTATGAGGATGGTCAATTGATATGTCGAAACCTAGAAATAGAAGATCATTTGAAAAATACTTTTTGAGCTGAAATTTAGAAGATGCCTTATCTTATTAACCACAAAGGTATGGAATCTCAAGTATCATTCAGAGTGGCTCAGCCAGGCAAATAGATATATGTTTTTGTATCAATCACCACATAGCATATGATAACCATAACAGTCATTTTATTAAGTATTGGACTCAAAACAGTTTTGAATGGCATGGGAATTTAATGATCACAAAATGATGGTTTTGATGATCAATGATTGTAGTTGCACCTCACAAATATGATTACGGTAGAATCCAACCTAGAGTCTGCAGCATAATCAGTTCATGTTGTACAAGTTGTTGTGCTTGCTTCAAATAAGTGTCAGAATGAACATCCAAATGAGGGTTATCTAGGTGGAGACAAGAATGACAAACTCTGATAACATGTTCCAATTTTCTTGGTTGCTCTTCAACTTTTGCTGCCAGAAATAATGCTGTTGGTGCCATGGCCTGAAATGGAGTGAATGTTGTTGCAGGCTTGCAAATCTACGCGAGTACGCGAGTCATACTCTAGTCTAGCGTATTTTGCCCTACCCGAGTCTAGCTATTACTCCCGTAAAAAACGTCATTACTCGCGTCCAGCAGTACACGAGAGTCCGAGGCGATTTTTTCCGCCGCCTCTCTCTCTTTATTCTTTAGTGACGTAAAATCGTTTGCGGGCGATGGTTTATGATGTCACAATAGTACATTAGAGCGAAAAGCGAGGAATCAAGCACGGGCACGCCTCCGGACGACTTGGCGTTGGCGAATGGAGAATGTTCCCTTGTAATAAGGCAGACTGCGAATGCGTATTATGAATTTAATAGAAGTGTTGCAGACTAACAAAGATGAGATGTCGGTAAGATTAGGGCTAGTGTAATTAATTAGTTATATTAACGGCTGTTTTGTTGTAAATTACCGGTAAAAGGGTATCTTTGCGTAACACCGTTTTTTTTTGTTTAAAAATACCAAAGGAGATATTATAAATTGTATGATTAGAGTAAATGGAGGAAAAATCAAGGTCCGTCTCTGTAGCGGCCTGGAAGTTTTGGCCAAACAGATTAAAGGACAGTTTTACGTTCGGTTTCAACGAAGATAATACCAAAGTCGTACATGCAGCATGCATTGTATGCAAAAAACATTGTGACAGAATACAGCGCGGCTATGGAGGCAAAGTTGTTAATGATGTGACGACTTACGGGGAGAATGGCACCAACTGGATTTTAAGATATAATTTAGAACGACACCTCAATTCCGAGGGCCACTTATTAAAGTGTGTCGAAATTGAGAATGGGAAGCTCCTGACGCAAACAAGTATCGCTCGCTTATGGGGCTGCCAAAAACAGAGGGCAGAGAACGCCATAAAACCTCTTGTTCGTACTGCACTGTATGTCTCTAGGAAGGAACTGCCTTTCAATGCGTTTGCGGACATATTACAACTGTGCGCAGACAATGGCGGCAAAATAACCACGTCATATGGTAACAGAGAAGGTTGTTAAGCCTTTATACATATTCTCGCGGAGGAGATATTGTCCTCAAAAAGAAATGAAGTGCACGAAAAAGTAAATTTTTTTAGCTGGATGGTGGATGGGTCAACAGTCGCCAAGCGCAAGTTATCGTACGAGTCGGAACTAATTTACATAAGAATAGCGCACGAATGCAAACCAGCTGTACACGAAATTGACTTGATTTCAATGAAGGAATATGTTCGAGTGGACGCAAACAATTTGTACCACGCTACATTGCGCTCTCTGTTGAGTTTCCTGATTCCCGATATAACAACAAATTGTGAGACACCCATTGAAAATCTTGTGGAACTTATTAAGCCTTTTTCTTCAAAAATTATCGGGGCCGGCGCCGAAGGCGCTGCTGTTAACTTTGGGCGTAAAACGGGTTTACTTAAAAAATGGGAGGACGTGTGTCCTGGTCGGCTAATCAAAGTACATTGCTATTCACATCGAATTGAACTAGCATCGAAAGACGCATTGACCCCCCATTTCAAACAAGTTATTGACTTCCTTATTGACATATATTATCATTTTCGGAATAGCCCTAAAGAATGGGCCGCCGTATGTAATGCCGCAGAAAAGTTGCAGACCACGGTTGTTAGTGTACCAAAGTCGCAAGGCACAAGATTTGTGGCACACACACTCAACGCACTCCATGCGCTAAAAACAAATTGGATTGTTTACATACATCATTTCACTAACCAGAGGGAGGCTGAGTCAGATATGAAGGCTGAGAAATTTCTTGTTAATCTTCACAGCTTCAAGTTCTATATCCTATGTCGCCAATACGAGGATATCGTAAATTGGGTATCTGCCACGTCAATCGCAATACAATCAGATTATGACGGGTCATCCATTATTGACGCTACCAAGCAGATAAAACGGTTGAAAATGAAATTAACTTCTATGGAACTTCGCGGCGGTCCTGCAGAGAGAGAAGCGCTCGATGCTTATGACAGGGGCGACCTAAATGGCACTCCGCTTCCGTTCCGTTTTACCAGACACGAAGATGGTGGACAAACGAAGGCAATACGCATTACTTGTAAAAGGCGTGAAACACCGACCGCCAGACTCCTGGAACACGAGGAAAGCGTGGTTTTTCATTCTGCAGAGGAAACCATCATCCAGAGATCCCAAACAACAAGATCGCAATGCATAAGAAATCTGCGTGATTGCCTGGACGAGCGATTTACAGAAATAGAAGAACAAGAAAACATTTTGAGTAAGTTATCATGGCTGTACCCTGAAATCTTGATGTCGGATGGCGGGATTAATGCGTCCGTCCCTGAATATGGCAATCAAGATCTTTCACAAGTCTTTGAGTACTTCAAAGTACCTCTACACGCAGCTGGGTGCGAGAAGGGTGCATGCTTGAAAGAATGGGATGATTTGAAGTATGACGTCCAGGGAAATGAGGTTTACAAAGATTTGAGCACTACCGACTTTTGGCACAAGTTGCACCAGCGAAAGAAGGAGGCATATAAAAATTTGTTGATCGTTGTCGAGTTAGTGCTTTGCTTACCATTCTCAAATGCTGTTGTCGAAAGAGGGTTCAGTTGTTTACGGCGAATTATCACTGATTGGCGATCACATCTCGGACACAATATGATAAAAGATCTTCTATTAATTGCCACGCGAAAAGAACAGTTCGAAGACGGGGCCATTCGAGAAAATCTGGTCAACAAGGCTTCCGCCCGATTCATGGGAAGCGATGGGACGTCTGAACGAGGTCTCGTGAAACTACGTATAAATTCAATTTTAGGGGGGTTGGAAACAGCAAAGCCCAGCTTGGTACAGCCTCAACTAATAAACATCGACGATAGCTCGTCGGAAGAAGACTAAAACTGTGATATGTGAACCTAAAAGCGTCTCACGCATTTCTTTGTTCGTCGACACAATTTCTAACCTTTCTTTTTATACATTTTAAATGATGCGAAGTCGACGGGCGGCGATTAGCGTTTAATATTCAATTTCGTTCTTTCTGTGCGATGTTTATTTTGCATGAACTCATCTGCTACATGCGAACTTATTTTATAGATTTCAGTTTCAGATATATAATTAGGTCATTTACGTCGTGCGGGAACGGCGTCGCAGAGCACGCAGCTATCTTGATTAGTATTTAATGAGACGCTCGCAAGTAGCAATATCGCAGAACGAGGGTACCGACGGAGTAGTGTTTATCGAGCGAAAGTAGGTGTGTAGATAGTGTGTGCGTAGATATAATTAGACACATTGACTCGCGCCTGACTCGCGTAACATTTTCCTGGGACGGGAGTATATGTGACGTCACTATGACGTCATTAAATCTTTTGAATTCCGTTAGGAGGTCGACGAGAGTATGCCTAGACTCTCGTTTTCGGGCACGGATTTGCAAGCCTGTTGTTGCATATGTGGCGTTCCTGAATGTTGAAGTATTTGTCCTGAAATTTGCTGTGTACCATATCATGTATACAGTACGTACCCAAACAAGGAACGAGGTTCATTGACGCAGTTACCTTACCAGTACCTAAATTTGACCATATTGTGACTATAAGTGTAGAATTCTGTCTAGAATATGTGACAAATGTGCCTTGCTATCATTTTTGAAGAAGTTAGATAATGGCATTGTAAGAGATCCTGTATTACTAAAACTCCAATCTCATAGAATGAGAAAATTTTCAGTTGGTTATTATAATTTAAATTTTTCAGACCAAATTCGGACAAACAGGTACAAAAGCATAGACGAGTAAAGAGAATTATATACTGTACTCAATCAGCAATTTATAATGTCCAAATGAAATAGAGCCCCATATGGCCCAAAATGGTCTAGATGGTGGAAGTGCTACATAAATATGAATCTGTAGTTGTAAACACTGTAATAACAGTAACAAGATAACTCAAAAACATTTCTTACAAATCTGGAAAATGCCTGAAATGAATGGAACATGTAGAAGCGATGCATATAAACGATTGCTGTATTGATTGTCAATTGATTGCTGTTGGTAATCATCATTATTGAATGAATAAGTTAAGGAAAAAATTTTTAAACATGTGCAACAGTAAAAGTTTAAAACTGCAGTTGCCATATTTAGAACACACAGACAACTTCTGAAAAGTTTGACGTGCCTAATACTGGGCTCACAAAAATATAAATTTTAGCATAAGACAGGTCAAAAAAACAAGTTATACTGAAATTATTATAGGTCTGATTTCATAGGATTGGATACCTGAGTTAAATACGTCAGAAAACACACCAATAAAATAAATCGAAAGCCTAACATTAATATATATTGAGATTTGAAGAGAAATAATATTAACTAAAGCTTAAATCAATGCTTTTATAAGCAGTTCATCAAAATTACGGTTTCTTTTATTAAAAATAAATCTGTTCAAAACATTTGGGATCAGAATTATTCAAAAAATGAAACTGAATTACAAAATATCGATATTCCTAGCCTTGCATCAATTGCTGACTCTTCAGAGCAGCATTTCTCAAACTGTCTGCAACGAGATTCTCGGATGTGCCACGAAGCTTTACAGAATTTTAGATAATAAGCCATTTGTATTACACATGGTCATGCAGGCAACAGACAAGCAAGCTTGTGAGACTAGAGTCCGCACTATCCATTAGAAGTAAGGGGGATTGTCACATTACAACTGTATTGGATTGTTATGCTATAATGTATTTGTAAATAAGATGTCCACTTCCACCATGTTGTCTTGTGCGATTAGTTGGGCTAACAGGAAAGCAAGTTTGGACGACTTTTGGCCATTTGCAAATCCTACTCAATCATCGGTATGATCTAGCCATTTGCATCTCCATGGGTCTGTGAACTAGAGATGTACCGGTACCACTTTTGTCGCCAATACCAACTAAAAAAAGCGATACCTATATATTGATATTCCAAAAAAGCCGATATTCCGATACTATGTAATTATTACCTCAAGCGTGCAGGGCAGACAGGTCAAAATAGTCTTTAATAAGCATTATTCATAGTGCACATCATTTCAGATTGAAAAAGAGATATACCACATAATAATGAATGGATATTTGGAGCCAGATGCGTTAATTGATTCAGATGCATTGTGTGCTGACGCTAGTAATCTAGATGTTCAATTTGAAAACTCATAGGGTTTGGCTACTGTGGGTGGTAAAATAAATTAATGTTTACTTATCCTATCAAACAGACACATTGAATTACATGCGCAGGATTTAGTGCCAATATAACAACCTATTTTGTATTTTACGCATTGAAAAACCCACTAGCATTTCATTGAAATATTTGTTTATAATTACCAGGTAATAATAAAATTCTAGATATAAGAATTTTTTTTTCAATTGTGCCGCAAATTTTTTTTTGTTTGCTTGCGCTGCAAGCAGAAAAAGTTTGAGAACCACTGTTCTAGAGGAAAGTATCGAGAGTGAAATCATTGTAAAGGAAGTAAAATATAGCAGGCAGTTTGCCTCTAAATAAATGCAGTAAAACAAACATGTACCAATCATGTTGACTAAAAGGATACACAGGCAGTCTTTGGCCCATATCTTGTATGAGATTTGCAGCTTGTTGGCGGTTTTTCAACTCTTTTTCTGCAGTAACTTTATCTTTTCTGCTGGGTGTGTTCTGAAGTTGGTCTGGAGTGAAAAGCCATTTTTCACCCAAGGGTTTATCTTTAATGAGTGCAACAGTGTCACTCCCAGAGTTGTTCATTGTCTTTTCAGCAAATAATACACACCATTTGCCACAAGACCTTGATAATTTAATTACATTGTTTGACAGCTGCAGATCTTGAATGAAGTTACATTGTAATTTGAAAACCTTTTCTTTACGTCTAAAATTCCAATAATATAGTAAAACAATATGTATAATACTATACATTCATCATCAATCCAACATTTGTTGTACACAACAATAGTAACATACAAATAATTAGTTTCTATGTATGTGAATGCATCACATAGACAAATCTATGTTACATCAGTAAAACATGCACTAAACATAACAAACACACAGACACATGAAACATATTATTACTATAATTCTTAAAAAAATTATTATATGACTGACTTATTGAAGTTGTTCCAGAACACGCTTTTCAGACTTCATCGTCTTCGAGCACTCTAATTTAATAATTTCTTTCTTTGTTATCCAGAGATGAAGGACTAAGAATATATATAGCTGTGGTAGTAATAATCAATAACATAGAGAAATTAATAATGAAAAACATATATTAATGTATGATAAAAGATTAGGGATGGGCAATATAGAATACCGAATCCGGAGGATTCAAATCCCAAAGTATTTGAATCCAAATTATCCGATAACAGAATTCAGTTTCCGCCTCTTCGACGCCATGCGTCATTTTTTGTATTTGAGATTTCTAATTCATTAATCAGTGGCGAGAGTTCTCTCACGACGAAATCTCTCTCGTTTGATTATACTTGTGTTTTCTCAGAACGAACCCGCAAATGTGGCAGACGTCAAACACAGTAATCCCAGCTTGCATATTCAGAACGTGAAGATGGCGTTATTGTACCACTTTCGCGTTTTACAATTTTACTATCTAGTTCGGTTATAATAATAATCATTATTGGTGCCGACTGCCGCGATTTTCCGATTGCAACAATCTCAAATTTTTGAAATACGCGAAACATTCTTTATTTTAAATCAAATGACTTTTTGCAGGCTTAGAGTTCTCCCAGAAAATGATGTGTACCAGACATTAGATGATAATAAAACATTATTTGTGATTTATTTAGATCAGGGGTCTCCAACTCAAAATATGTCGCGGGCCACTATTTGAAATTTATTGACGATGCGGGCCGCAAACTAACAAATTATATACAAAATTGTTATACAAAAATTAACAAAGTAAATCTGAATATATTTGTTGAAATTACCCCTGAATCTTACACCAACCGAGACATGAAAAATATTTGTTTACTTGTGTTGGATATTTGGCACATATTTGGTTTTGTAGCGGTGAGAGACTCGATGTTTGGCCTTATTTTGCGTTGGTTTGCTGGTCTTTGCATACAAACTCTCGTCCGTTAGTCGTGTGCGAAAGGCTGATTTGTTGGTCGCAGAAAATAAACACATTGACATACTTGATTATAATTGATAGTCTTTAAATTAATTTTACGACATTAATTAACACGCCCCAGCAAGTGCTGCCCCATAAATTGCAATGGCCTCGGTCTTGACTGTGTGTTTCCGGCGCTCTTACATTAATAATAATTTAATGTTTTTTCATAACTATTTTTTGTATTTGACAATTTAGTATTAAAGTGTATAATGCGCATAATATATAATTTTAGCATATAAGTATTTAGGGATCACATAAAATTTGAACAAGTCAAAGCAAAAAGTAATTGAGTAAAATTCTTATATTTCATTGTCCTGTTTGGTAATGAATAAAATCCAATGCTCAGGGTATTTTTCAATTGAATTGTAAGTACATTCACAATTTTGCTTTTTATAAATTGTAATCCATAAATATGGTGGGAGAATTCCCACATTTGAATAACAATAAAAATAGAATAGGATTCTGTATTCTGGATTCAATTCAAGTATTCTAGAATAGTAAATTATTCTATATTGCCCATCACTATGAAAGATAACATATCATAAAGTGGCTTTTGCTTTTCTGCAAATGGAAAAATACAAATCGAAGGTATCAGGACAAGAGAGGCAAACACTGAAATTCTAAAAAAATTCATATCTACAGTTCATATTCCTTATAGCTTAACTTGTTTACATGATAAATTTTGTAGAATTGGCGATTGTATCCATTTGCTAATTGATGCGGCAAAGGCAAGTATCAACTTTTGTCTTTTTGCCACAGAAAATTCACCCTTTAACACTATATATTTGTGAGACAAATGCTTGATATGTGACAAATTGGGAAAAAAAAATAGGTTTTATAAAACAGGTTTGACATATGAGTTACAATATACAAAATCAACCAAAACATCTGAAGCACCCCTTGCAATATTTTTAATCACTTGCACCAAAGACTTAGACAACGTTACATAGCAAAATATGCTTCATTTTTTTAGTATTCTCAGGGGCTAAAATAAACAACTTAGCACACATGGTTAAATCTTTTTGCTGGGCATGATATCTACAGGCGCGGACAGTTCTTTTCTGTGCCTGCAATATATGGTTATTAGAAATATGGTCATATTTATAGTTTCTATTCTATCGTTACTGCGTTATAAGACCATTATTAATTTGCGGATTATTAATTTCAATGTAATAATAAGATAAATACACGGACTCTTTTAAAAGAAGCAAATGCTTTACAAATCACCACTCACATGGGACATAGAGTGATCTAACTAACGACAATCCTAATGCCACATGCAACATAATTAATGGTAAAACTATTAGGATAAAAAAAAATTGAAAATAAGTGACGGAATTCTGAGGTAACGATGTTGGCCACATTATTAATGTATCAATTAGGCTACAGACCTGCTCACGTGTGATTAGTGTTTTTCCTGATAATTGCTTTTATGAGTGTCAGCACGCCGAATTCGCCGCCATGGTTTTGCATTTGTTTGTATATTAAACCACTTATCACCTTTTTCGCAATGCCCAATTTAGCATGTAGTTTTTCATGGCTTCATAAGTATGACTATCGTCACAAATTTATTACATTCCACTTCCCACATTATCTTTGCATAAGATTGTAGGTATTGGTCATTATCAACGTAATTGTTAAAAATACAACAGCCCAAAAGTTTAATACTATTGTGTATTTTGTTTGTTAAGTTCGGCCCAAGCCTCATTTAATTGCTGAATTGGGCTTGTGTTTTTGTGTGCGTGCTGGTGGCCGTGGGCAGGCACATGATATACTTCTCATGTTTTAAACTTTTTTATAGGTTTTGATTGCTCTCCAGAATCTCCATTTTTAATTTATGTTTGTCACCGGTATGGAGTTTTCGAAATAAGCTATCTACAGATCTATCTAACTGACCAGGGGTCGGTTAACCACCATACAGCGGCGAGGAGTCCAGCAATCCTCTCGCACATAACCATCCAGCCATCCCTATATGGGATTAGAACCCATGCAAAGTAATCAGAGGTCTGGAGGTGCGGTGGCGAGCGTATTCCTAATGCAGTAAGGTAACGCTTAGCACAATGAGCCACACCGCCGCGGGTCAGTACGGTATCTATACAGCTATAGCCGTATACAGGTATAGGATTGTCAGCTGGTACCGTATTCAGGTATTGTTGTCTACACATAGACACAGCTAGGCTACCGTCAGACTGGAGGACTGATGGATCGGGTCTGGTATAGTTTAGTACCACATCCACTTCTAGTTGGCCTGGCTCGACAATTTTGTATATGTTATTCCTAACCCCCACCCGACTATGCCATCCAAAAATTACGTCAATACGACGTCACAAACACGTCATAGAGCTTGCCAAAGTATAATTACGATTGCCCGAAATGGCATCTGCGCCGCCAATTGCGAACTCGCTAACACCGGCGATCTCTCTCCTATCGTGATGACGGGAAAACCAGAGAAATAGCTTGCTCGATTTCGGGTGATCATCTGCGCGTTTTGGACGACCATCCACATACTTTGGCGGGCCTTAATACGCCAATGTGACGTCGAAATGATGTAATTTTTCGGTGACGTAGTCAGGTGGGGGTTAGGATTGGCATAGGGCCTATGCAGAAATTGTTGAGCATGTGGTACTAAATTATACCAGACCCCTATAGCCTACTAGACCCGATAGATCTAGCGGTAAGGTGCCGGTTCCATCTAACCGTACGGCACCTTCAGAACACTTTTAAACTTTCCAATTTTTATGAACAAATACTGATATAAAACCAGAAGTAGTACGGTAACTTATCTCATTACGGTAGTCTAGTCTAGGTCCACCAACATGCTCACATGACCGACATCAAAGATGAAAAATCTGAATATTGAGCACAAGATTCAGAGATGAGTGTAAACTTACTGTATGGAAAGATTTCATGATACGGTACCGGTGCTGGCTGACCGGTACAATACGGTACCGGTACCTACAAACCTACGGTATCTGGTACGCCGTACGGTACCGTTGTATTACTGTATTATGTTTGATTGTATGTTCACTGACTTATACCGACTTGCATTGGCAAATGGACGAGTCTTGCCATTCGTGGTAGATTTCATTACCACGATACACAGGATAAACATGGTTGCGGACGAAACATCGAAACAAAATCGAATAGTTTTGTATAATCCCGGACGCCCATCCGTGACCCAGTGAGCGCGACAGCACACGCTATTTCGTGAAACACGGCAAGGCCCTGTTACGCATGCGCAATAAAAAAGTGATATTCACGTCTTTTTTCACGAAATCCTAGTCGTGCTCAATACAATACAATTTATTTCAGCATTCTGAAAACACAACACTCAATGAAACGAACAACTCATATAACAGGAATATCTGAAAAACGAGCAAAACTTAAGAATAAAATCTATAACGTGTAATGCACGTGCTCCTTCAACGAAAATACAGTAACTGTAACTGCATTATTCGCTGTATAATTAAGATGTGCTGCTGATTAACTTAGGCTAACGTTCTAGCTAACTTAACAATACTATTAACCTGTACCTACTAACAACTGAATACCGTATTGGACTACGTGAAATACCGCAACATGGAGAATTTTAAAGAAAGCAACAACCATAGTCAACTCATGAAAGATGTGTTAGCGACCTTACAATGTCTGCAAAAGCAACAACAAGAACTGCAACATGATATTGCTAAAGAAAAGAAAGCAAGAGTCGAAGTTGAAAATAAATTATCTGAGATCAGAAATTCTGGCAACGTCCTTATACCAGTAACAACGAGAAATCAAATTGGAGCAAAGCAGAATTCTGGAAAATCAAACATGGAGGTCAACAATAATGGAATACCGGTACCTAATCTTCCAACAAGCAAATTTGATGCTCTGGAAGAGAAATCTATTGGCATTTCCAATAAACTTGAGTGCTTAACCAAAATGGTGGAACAAATTAAAGAAAGCACCATAAAAAACGAAATAACAATTGATAATTTGGAACAATATGGGAGAAGAAACTGTATCATACTGCATGGTTGTAAACGTATACCAAAATCAGGGCACTATGGACAATTTGAGGCATATGTGGCGAACACACTAAATTCATCCCTGAAATTGGAGTGGCCCATACAGTATGGGGATATAGATGTAACGCATATCCTCCCGGCAGATAGTAGAGGGAATGTTCCTATTATAGTCAAATTTGTTCGTCGAAGCACCAAAAATTTGATCTACTCAATGAAAAGAAGACTGAAAAAGACCGGACTTTCAATTACTGAATCGCTAACAAAACGACGAGTCGAACTCCTCACCGAAGCTAGAAGAGTTCTTGGACTTAAAAACGTTTGGACTATGAATGGGGACATTTATGGATTTCATAACGGTAAAAAAATAATTATTAGAACAGTATCAGATATTATGATATAATTACAGATTGAAATTTATGATACGCTAGAACAGCCCTAATCCCGACTGAACAGCAGCACTAAACGCAAGAATACTTTTGAATTTATTCATTTTTATTTTGCCCATATGAATCTCAATGAGAGAAATTTACCATGTCATGGATGTCAAAAAACTGTAAACAATGGGGAAAGGGGAATCTACTGTGATAAATGTAGTCGTTGGATTCATCTAAAATGTAGTGGGCTAAAATTACTAGAGTTTCGTAAACTATGTAATGAACCAAATGATATACCTTGGTACTGTAGACTTTGCTTACAAAATAGCCTGCCATTTAGCTCGTTATCTAATACAGAAGTAAATGACCTATGCCTGAATGATGACTCTCCCTCGACTCTGACCCCAGAAATTCTCAATGAATTTTTTACTGAGGCTTCACCACCGAATATTGATAATGATGAAATGAGCGATTCCACAAAAATTCGTATGTCTGATTGTCGATACCTTTCTGCCGCTTATTTAGATACCCTATGCAAGGATAACATGAACCCGCTTATCACAATGTGTATCAATATGCGTTCCTTGGCTAACCCAAGAAACTTTTCCAAACTTGAAGCTCTTATAGCCTCAATAACAATCTGCCCAGATTTAATAGCAGTCAATGAAACATGGCTAAAACCAAACCAGCTAGGATCCCATATGAACCTGGGTGGTTATACTTTTTTATCAAATTCGCGAGTGACTTTGAAGGGTGGGGGTGTTGGCCTATACATCAAAAGCAATATTACTCTCAAGGCTAGACCTGACATTTCAGTTATGAATGAGCGAATTTTTGAATCCATTTTTGTAGACATTTATTTGAAAGATAGAATTGTGACCTGTGGAACAATTTACAGATCCCCTTTATCAGATAGTCAAAGCAATGATCAATTTATTAGTATTCTCGAATCAACACTCCAATCGTTATCGAAAAATAGTATTATCATGGGAGACCTAAGTTATAATCTTCTTGAAACAAATAACAAGACTGTAGACGAATTTTGTGAGCTGATGAATTCGGCTTCATTTTATCTGGTGGTATCGAAGCCAACTCGAATCACTCAAAGCAGCTCTACAATCATTGACCATATTTGGACTAATATCTTTGATTGTAAACCCCTTAGTGCAATAATAGTCGATCCTATTTCAGACCACCTGCCAGTCCTAGTTTGTATTCCACTGAAGAAAAAACATCGCAAGACAGAAAACGGATACTTTAGGCAATATAATACCACAAATATAGATAATTTTAAACTCATGCTAGAACAAAGTGACTTTTCGATTGTGTTCAGCAAAACAGATCCCGATATAGCCTTCAGAATTTTCAATGAGTATTTCACTGAATCTTTTAACACTTGTTTCCCTCTAAAGAAAAGAAATACTAAAATTATTAATAAATGGTTTGACAAGGAACTCTTAAAAATGCAGAAGAAAAAGCATAAACTATACAAAAATTATCTTACTGAAAAATCAGAACAGACTAAATCCAAATATTCAGAATGCAAGAAAAAAATATGAGAAATTGATAACTGTGAAAAAACAAAATTACTATAAGGGATTACTAGGTAGACATCGTAATGATCTTAAGAAAACTTGGCGTACTATGAACGATCTGCTTGGGCGTTCTAAACCGAATCTAACAAAAGTATTTTCTATTAATGGACAGGAAACCTCTGATCCTGTCAAAATAGCAGATCATTTTAACTCACACTTTTCTACAATTGGGAATAAAATGATTGAACGGTTTCCTCATACCACAAGGGATGGCTTTAAGCAATACATGGGGCAGCCCAGTAAAACTTCCATGTTTCTTGCCCCGACATCAGCGTTCGAAGTCCAAATTATTATGAAATCTTTTCGACCTAAAACCAGTTGTGGTATAGATGGAATTCCCTTTAAAGTAATACGAACAATGCATTGGAATTGTATCTGTGCTCTTACACATATCTTCAACTGTTCCTTACAATCTGGTAAATACATAAACCAGTTCAAATTATCTAAAGTTATGCCATTATTTAAAAAAGGAAATGCAAAAAATGTAGAAAACTACCGACCAATCAGCTTACTTCCCGCTTTCTCCAAAGTACTCGAAAAAATTATGTACAAAAGACTCAACAGTTTCCTAGATCAAAAATATTTCGTTTATTCCAAGCAATTCGGTTTTCGACAAAACCACTCTACATGCCATGCAACATCTCTACTTGTCAGTAAAATTTTAGAGGGATTTGATAAGAATGAGTATACTCTTAGTATGTTCTTTGACCTTTCCAAGGCATTTGATAGTATTGACCATGACATATTACTAGCCGAACTGCACCATATTGGTGTGAGAGGTCAGAGCTATAATTGGTTCAAAAGCTATTTATCAGGAAGGAAACAAGTAGTAATATATAATGATGTAGCATCTAGCACATACTGTAATTTGACTGTAGGCACATTACAAGGTTCTATTTTGGCTCCATTGTGCTTTTCAGTCATTATTAACGACTTTCCAAATTCTCTTCTTCACTCTGATATCATACTGTTTGCCGATGACTCAACACCATATCTTCGAGGCAAAGACTTGCCTGAACTTTTGACCAAAGCAAATACTGACTTAGAAAATATTCATACTTGGTTGTCTGCTAACAAACTTACTATTAATGTAGACAAGACAAAATATATGGTATTTAGCGCGTCAAAGCAAAAGTGTCCAACACCGCAACAAAATCTGAAATTGAATGGAATAAATATAGAAAGGGTTAACCAGACTCGTTTTCTGGGTGTAACGATCGATGATAAATTGTCGTGGAAACAACACACAAATCTGGTGCTATCGAAAACAAGATCGTCTCTTAGTGCCATTACGAAAATAGCCAACAATTTGAACACTTCCTGTTTAATATCCCTATATCACTCTCTAATAGAAAGCCATATTCGATACTGTGCCTCAGCTTATGTTCATCGCCAATCTTCCATTCTAAAAAAAATTCAAAGTGTTTGTAATCGTTTTATTAGAAGAGTTTTCCATAGAGGAAATCGAGAAAAAGTCAATGACCTATTCAAAGAGTATGGGCTACTACGAGTAGATGATTTAGCTAACTTCGAACCAATCAATCAATCATTTATTCGTCGTCACAAAAACATCAAATGCACAAAAAATTGGTACAATAAATAAATATAATAATAATGATATTTGTGCGACAGCAGTCGCGAGGGACCATATTAGGTCTTCAAGCAGCGACACCTAAAGCGCTGTTACTGGTTCAGTGTAAAAAAATAACAACATTTGCTACAAACATTGACTATGCAATAGTCGTTATGATGAACATATTTTAAATCATTGAAAAAATTCGCAGCAAACGCAATTTTACTAAAATCATATAATAGAGAAAAAAAAAAAAAAAAAAAAACTCAACTATAAATTTATAAAAAAGGCATATTTGAATAAATGTATGTAAGTTACATAAAAGACAAACGACAAGCGGGGGGAAAATGGTTAGACCAAAGACAAAATTGTAAGTGATTAATTGAATAGAAGTTGGTAAGCTCTAATAAATCATAAAACGTTGATATGTATATATATATATATTTATACAATACGCTCCATAGTAAGTGGGCATAAAATTTACGAAAGAATGGTAGGTATATGCTTGCTCAATAAATTAAAATATAACGAATTTTGGCATTTTAGTGTAGAGGTTGCACCAAGGTTGGTAAAGTTAAAGTACCGGGTACTTTAGAAATAGACTCCTTACACCTATAGTTCCTCCGGCTTTTTGGGCAGCCATGGCCAAAGCGTATGGGTTAGGCAATAATTTCAGGTACAAATACTACGGGAGTCACTTGGCTAGTCCCCGAACTGGGCTATGGACAGAAGATGGCGAATCATACTGAATACTCCAATCAATGGCTGATGGAAGAGAGATAATAACTAATATATTTACTTTTAAGATATAATTTGAAACCGTAATAGCCTAAAGATTTAATGGTACTTGGTAAGGCATTCCACAGTTTCACACCCGTGTATTTTATGGATTTCTGTGTCCTGCTTGATGAATATCTTGGGACATAATATGAACTTGACGAAGCTGATACTATGTACTATGATGTTCTCTTGCTACATTGGAGAACTCCCGTCCAGTCTGAACAGCTTGTTCCGAGCAAACCCAAATTCAAACAGCAGAAATAAAGATAATTTTTTTATTCCATTCGTCAGTAAAAGTATTTCACAAGAATCAATTGTAGTATGTGGGCCAAAAGCTTGGAATTCCCTACCTAATGACATCAAAAAGTCAAAATCAAACTCAGAATTTCGTTCCAAACTTAAACAATATATATTATCGTCATATTAGCAAATTTCTCTGCTTTGAACATATTACTGTCTTTGAGATTATTTTTTAAGGTGAATTCGACACTGAAAAGGAGAACCTTACATGATTTTGATTGGGCAACTATCAGGAACCGGTCGAAATCTTCAGTCGCCATAGAACAGATGGCAACTTCAATAACTCCACAGGATACTTCACCCGGATTCAACATGAAACAATGGACTGATTCAATAACTAGCACACCATTCTAATTTCATCACCATGCCTAAATAATCAGACAAAGAAACAAAATTTAAATGTAGCAAACAATAGGGACAGTGATCACTGTTAAAGTAGCATGCTGCTTTATTTAACTTCATTCCATTATTCTCGCCCAGCACCAAATTAAACAATCTCAATCCTTTCTTTATTCTAGGATATCATATTATTCAATTATATTATTGTTTTTATTTTATTATCAGCACTAAATCGAACAATCCTAACCCTTTCTTCATCACAGGATACCATATTTTATTATTATTTTAATTCAATTTGGAAATTCCATGACATGGCAAAATGATATTCTTTATAATTTATTGTTCTCTATTTCAATATACTTTTATACCTTTGAATTGTCTGGCTGAAATGCGATCATGATAGGTTTTATGGAAATTCAACCTGAATATCCTTTTTTTGAATCCTGATCTTTTTTAGCGGTATTCAGAACTATAAAATACAAAGTACCTTAAAAAAGCGTATAACTTGACAGAACTTATTACATTGCATTTCCCCAAGCCTGGAAGGAACGCATTTTTGCTAGATTAGCCATTTATTACTTAAGACACTCACCCTTTAGTGGTACATACCATATATGCACATTCTCCTATAAAGTTGACTATTTCTCCCATTTATAGTATGTGGTATCATTATTCGAGGGTGCTATATGTCCAAATTTTATTCTTATGTATATATATTATGTATTATATTTCATGTTGTATTGTCTCTATTTATTGATGTTGTCTTGTCCTACCAACTCCTTTGTACAAACAGTTGGGCATACTCCACCGTTACCCATGTTGCCTAATCCACCTTCCTCGCACAACTGTCTGTATGAAGGACCATATTATACTTATTCGATTTATTGCATTTTATGCTTATCATAAAGGGTGTATGCCGCACGTTCATGTGTTTTAGGCCAGTATGGTCTTGTGTATACATCCCGTCTTCAATGTTGATATTTACTAACTCCTGTGTTTTTGCTTTTACGAGACGAATAAACATACATACATACATAATAATTTTTATAAAAAGACTCGATTAGCAGCAGTGAATAGCTAGCTCGTCGGGGGTTCCATACACCATTTCACAAGCTTTAAATCGGTTTTTGGCGGTTTTACAATGTTCTTGCACTCAAGGACACTATTCCACAAGCTTTAAATCGGTTTTTGGCGGTTTTACAATGTCCTTGCACTTAAGGACACCATTCCACAAGCTTTATATCGGTTTTTGGCGGTTTTACTATGTTCTTGCACTCAGGGACGCCATTCCACAAGCTTTATATCGGTTTTTCGCGGTTTTACTATGTTCTTGCACTTAAGGACACCAATCCATAAGCTTTATATCGTTTTTTGGCCGTTTCACAATGTTCTTGCACGTAGGGACGCCATTCCACAAGCTTTATATCGGTTTTTCTATGTTCTTGCACTCAAGGACACCAATCCATAAGCTTCAAATCAGTTTTTGGCGGTTTTACAATGTTCTTGCACTTAGGGACGCCATTCCACAAGCTTTATATCGGTTTTTCCCGTTTTTACTATGTTCTTGCACTTAAGATACCATTCTACAAACTTTATATCGGTTTTTGGCGGTTTTACATTGTTCTTGCACTTAGGGACGCCCAAAGTGACTAGAAACCAAGTGGAGACACCGTGTGCGACGATGCATATCGGACGCCTCGTGCGATAGTTATCTTACTACAGGTATCGCGTGTGAGTTATGCAACTTCGAAACCTCATATCTCACTAACCTTACATTATATTTAGACAAGTTTTATATTGTTTGAGAGACAATCTAGGAGACTAATTATAATTATGAGATGGGGATAAAATGTCCCGATTATCGTACAAAAATCGGCGAAATTGAAAGCGTGAATTTTTTTGAAAAACTTTTTAATTAAATGACAAAACCTCCGATTTGTTCTTGTTTTAATCTAATATGATATCGACACATACACTTGTGTAAGTTTGACATTTGTAGAGGTTAAAAATAGCTTTCGAATGGTATCATTAGATTGAATTTATCGTGCACCAGTAAAATTGTATACGCTATTTTATTCAATGTTCTCCAATTCTTCATATGTCCGCTGCGCCAACTTGAGTTAAACAGCGACGTTCCTCAATTACTTCGTTACGCAGCGATCTTTCGCAATTACGTTGCGACCAAAGTGTTGCAACGTAGCAGCTCTGCGTTCCTTATGAAAAACACTTATCACTTACCCTGGTAAGTGTGAAACATCTTTAACCTAAAGCATACGTTTAAAGCAGGTATTATTTAAACCGCGGCCGATGCTACAATACTGATATAATTGGAACTCCAGCTGTGAACGACAAAATTCGCGATTGCGTAATTTACAACGTTCCGCAGAACAACGTCGCCTGAACGTCAATGCCTAATTGTACTTTGCGTCGTTACGAAAACTTGGCTTCTAATCGTTCACCGATTTTGTTCATTTACCGAAGTCAAAATGGGATATCCAGATGATCCCGCAAAACGACAATGAATCGCACTCTAGTCTCTAGTTCAGCGTTTCCCAACCTTTTCTGGTCGCGGACTATTTTCTCACCGGCGAAAACCTTTGCGGACTCAATGTGCGTTTATTGCAACCGTACTCTGTGTGAAAAAGCAATAAAACCAATTACAACAGAATTTTAACGAATTTTGAAATCGGAAATTCGCCGCAATTACGCGTTCGTTAAAAGAGACGATTTTTGTCGCACAATATTCAATCTATCACAACGACGAGAATTTAAAATGTCCTTCTATTTTAATTTAATTATGTTCATGGTAACTCGCGGTTGCGTCGACTTACGACAAGATGAAAGCATTACTTCCTTAAAATGGCAGGGCAATCTGCGACTATAATAATGTGAGAATATATAATATTGCCCGATTATATTTTTTCGATCTTGCGAATTTGTTATCGCCGTTAGAAAAATCCTACCATCTGCTATAAAT